ATAAGTCGGGAGATCTTGGTGGCCATGTGACATCATTACGTTGAAAGAAGTCTATTGTGACTCTTGCAACATGTGGTCGGGCATTATCTTGTTGGAAAGTTGGATCTGCCAGGGTGTCAAGATAGGGTAAAAGATGGGGTTCTAGAACTTCGTGGATATAACGCTGCGCGTTCATGTTACCTCTGATGAAGATTAAAGGTGACCTGGAACCATAAGCTATAGCACCCCAAACCATAACTCCAACAGTGTGATGAACATGTCTTTCAACAAAAAACTGTGGATTCTTCCTTTCACCACGTCGCCTTCTAACCCTCGCACGACCATCGTGCATGCCTAAACAAAATCGAGACTCGTCACTAAAGACAATACTGTTCCATTCCTGATCCCAGAGTGACCGTTGTCTGCACCACTCAAGGCGATTACGTCGGTGTTCTCGAGTTAAAGGGAGGACCCACTGTGGCCGGTATGAAAACAAGCCAAAACTTCTCATTCGTCGGTAAACACTTCGCATGCCTATAGGTCTTCCGTGTTCTGCAAACCATTCATTTGCAATGGACCGGGTAGTGGAGAAACGGTCCCTTAAGGCCAATAATCTTAGGCGGCGATCTTCACGGTCTGTTGTTCTACGGCGGCGTCCAGTGCCCCTTGCTCTTTGCGTACGGCCTTCTCGAAGCCATGCCTGACAACACCTAACCACAGTGTCTACACTTCTTTGCACTCTAACTGCAATTGCCCGAAAAGAAAGTCCAGCTTCCCGAAGTCCCACTATACGGCCCCTATCAAACTCACTAAGTTGACGAAATCGTACAGGTCTCCGTACTCTAGGCATCGTAACCGATCGTAAAGGATGTCAAGAACCAAAATCCGCCAGCGTCGATTCTTTACTGCGGCTGAAATATTCATTTTTAGAGCGTTAGTGAATTAAAAAAAGCAGTATAAAAACCGGAATGTCCAACTGATAAGGCTGAACATTTTTTCACTTGTTATTTACAGAAAGATAAATACATTCACCAACTTTTATTAAAATAAAACCATTTAAACTGGGTGTTAGGATTTATATGTCACTTAGTATATGTTGTCCTGTCTGTGTTCATGCGCGATTTGTCGCATATTGACCTTGACATGCTTGATCTTCCTTATTTGACCTGCCTATGTTTTTGCTTGATGTTTTATATATATATATATATATATTTATATTGATATATTGACCTCGACATGACCTTGATCTCAGTTCTTATTTTAACCTGTATTTGATTTTGCTTGATATCTCCTATTTTGACCTTAACTTGACCTTGATCCTAGTTCACATTTTCGATTTTCTGCCTCTGAGTGATTTTCTACATGTTGACCTTAGTATGACCTTGATCTTTGGGTGCGTATATAGTCATGACCCGTATGTTTAATCTACAATTTTTTTTAGCATTAAGCCAGTAGTCGATGTCGTGGAGGAATTTAAATGCAAAGAATGTTTGAAAATTTTCAAAACTCGGAGGCAGAGGTATTTTCATGAAAGGATGGTTCATCGTTCTGAGAAATACGCGTGTGACATCTGCGGCAAACAGTTCAAGACGGAAAGCTACGTAAAGAAACATAAGAAGCAATTTCATATGAAGACAGAAAAGTGCGCTTGCGATACGTGCGATAGAAATTTCAATTCGAAGAAGGCGTTAATGCAGCATGAAGCGCGAGTACATTTGAAAAAGTTTGACAAAGCTTGTACGGAATGTGGTAAAAGTTTCTTCTCGCACAATCAACTGCGCGAACATCAGAGGGTCAAACATGATAGAATACTCTATAGCTGTAAGGAATGCCAAAAATCGTTTGAGACTAGACGAGGTCTGTCAATTCATATGGACAAACACATACCAGCTCAATACGACTGTCTGCTTTGCAAGCAAACATACAAATTCAGATGGCAATTTGAAAGACACGGATGCAAACAGAAAAAAGAGAAAGAAACATACGTTTGCCAATTGTGCGGAAAGAGTTTAAGCTCAAAGCAAGCTCTGAAAAATCATGTGAATGCACACGTTGGGGAAAAATTCTACCAATGCGACGTTTGCGGTAAAATATTAGCTTCCGCCAACAATTTAGTGGTTCATCAGAGAATTCATACTGGCGAAAAGCCGTTTGTTTGTGCTGTTTGCGGCCATCGTGTAAGGAAAGAATCCTTACTGAATCTCCATATGAAGAGCCATACCGGCAAGACGTTTTTTCACTGTGAGATATGCCGGAAGGGTTTCAAAATTGAAAGTAAATTGAAGACTCATACATGTAAAGAAGCAAGGTTGGAGAAGATTGAAGATGAAAACGTGACAGTGCCGAAAAGTACTGTCGTTGAGGAAATTGTGCGAAAAGAACCAGCGGTTAAGACATATAGTGGACCAAATTTGAGGTTAAATCAGGCAAAACAGAAAGTGCCTGAGTAGAACGTAACTTATACTATACTAAGTGACATATAAATCCGAACACCCAGTTTAAATGGTTTTATTTTAATAAAATTTCGTATAAGTACTTAATGAAGCATAATAAGTAAATGATAAAAATTTCAAAATGATTGCACTGCTTTAAAGCCCTTTGACCTTTAATAATGTGTGGATGCACCCTGATGTGCTACGCATTCTCCAACGCGCCTAGACATGTTTCTGATCAGGTGGTCAATGTCCTCCTGTGGTATCTCATTCCAGGCAACCACCAACTCCTCTCGAAGTGCTTCTAGAGTCTGAGGAGGACGTTGCAAATTGAGCAATCTCCTACCCATCATATCCCACACGTGCTCAATTGGGGATAAGTCAGGAGATCTTGGTGGCCATGGTAACAATGTGACATCATTATGTTGAAAGAAGTCTATTGTGACTCCTGCAACATGTGGTCGGGCATTATCTTGTTGGAAAGTTGGATCTGCCAGGGTGTCAAGATAGGGTAAAAGATGGGGTTCTAGAACTTCGTGGATATAACGCTGCGCATTCATGTTACCTCTGATGAAGATTAAAGGTGACCTGGAACCATAAGCTATAGCACCCCAAACTATAACTCCAACAGTGTGATAACATATCTTTCAACAAAAAACTGTGGATTCCTCCTTTCACCACGTCGCCTTCTAACCCTGGCACGACCATCGTGCATGCCTAAACAAAATCGAGACTCGCCACTAAAGACAATACTGTTCCATTCCTGATCCCAGAGTGACCGTTGTCTGCACCACTCAAGGCGATTACGTCGGTGTTCTCGAGTTAAAGGGAGGACCCAGTGTGGCCGGTATGAAAACAAGCCAAAACTTCTCATTCGTCGGTAAACACTTCGCATGCCAATAGGTCTTCCGTGTTCTGCAAACCATTCATTTGCAATGGACCTGGTAGTGGAGAAACGGTCCCTTAAGGCCAATAATCTTAGGCGGCGATCTTCACGGTCTGTTGTTCTACGGCGGCGTCCAGTGCCCCTTGCTCTTTGCGCACGGCCTTCTCGAAGCCATGCCTGACAACACCTAACTGCAATTGCCCGAAAAGAAAGTCCAGCTTCCCGAAGTCCCACTATACGGCCCCTATCAAACTCACTAAGTTGACGAAGTCGTACAGGTCTCCGTACTCTAGGCATCGTAACCGATCGTAAAGGATGTCAAGAACCAAAATCCGCCAACGTTGATACTTTACTGCGGCTGAAATATTCATTTTTAGAGCGTTAGTAAATTAAAAAAAAGCAGTACAAAAACCCCAACTGATAAGGCTGAAAATTTTTTCACTTGTTATTTACAGTAAGATAAATACATTCACCAACTTTTATTAAAATAAAACCACTTAAACTGGGTGTTCGGATTTATATGTCACTTAGTATATGATTCTCATGCTGATAAAACTGCATCCTGCATATCATTTAATTTTGGGATTCTATGCGAGATCCTATAAACATTTCATACGTATTATCCTATATCTAAGTTTAACCTGTTTTGACATATCTGAAATTTTGCACAAAAATGACTTAACTTCTTATCCAAAATCACCCCCTCAAACTTTTTCAATCTATGGGAATTTGTTAAATTTCAGTTACTCTTACCATGTGTGGCCTTCAGAATATGCTTATTATTGTCTTTTCTGTTTTTATTGCACGAACACTTTAAACAGGAAGAAAACGCTCTATGTATTTGATAACATTGAACAGAACGTACTTATGAATTTACTTGTATAATTACTGGTATCCTTTCAGAATTAAACAAGAAATTTGGATCGAGCCTACACAAGTCGAAGCTGGCGATAAAACCACTAACACATTAGAAGATCTTAGATGTAAGAAGTGCTCGAGACTATTTGTGTCTGTTGATCAGTTGAACGAACACGATACAGTTTTCCATCCTCCTGGGTTGTATGTTTGTGATATATGTTGCAAAGAATTCATGAAGCTGAGTTTATTAGAAAAACACGAAAGGTATGGTCACATGGAAAACAGAGATTACCAATGCGATAAGTGTGGTAGCCGGTTCAAGACGAAGACATGTTTGCGGAGGCATGAGAAGCGCGTACATCTAAAACGTTTAGACCATATCTGTGAACAATGTGGAAAAGGGTTTATTGCAAAATCTGACCTGCATAAACATCGAGGCAAACACAACAGGTTGGAAGGTGAACAGCAAGACGAAGAAATTGTTAAGGATGAGGCGGAACTTTACTGTTGCAGCGAGTGTTCTAAAGTGTTCTCCAGCAGAACACAGCTTACTAACCACAGGAGAATTGTTCATGCTCCAAAAATATTTGCATGTGATATGTGCGAGAAGAAATTCAACCAGATAAAAGTATTGGAGAAACATAAAGAGTCAGTTCATCCGAATAAACTTTACACATGCAATGAATGTGCCGGGGAATTTAAAAATATGAAACTATTGAGCTATCACAAAAGTGCTGTACATTTGGGAGTGTTTAAGCACTATTGCAAAGAATGCGACATAGGTTTTATGTACAGTCAAAAACTACGCGAACACCAGAGGATCCAACATGACAAGATACCTTACAGTTGTGTTAAGTGCGCGAAAACATTTGGAACAGCAAGTGCGCTATCGCACCATATGGAAAAACACGTAGACGCAGAGTACAGTTGTTCGTTTTGCATGAAGATTTTCAAGACTAGAACGCAGTTGAGGAATCATATATGTAAGCACAAAGATCGCAAAAAGTATGTTTGCGAGAGATGCGGCAAAGAAGTACTTTCCAAAAAGAGTTTGCAAAGTCATATGAATGTGCATGACGGTGTGAAACCCTACAAATGCGATGTTTGTGGTGAAGCATTAGCTTCTGTCGGCAACCTGCAAGTCCATAAAAGAATACATACTGACGAAAAACCTTATGCTTGCACTTTCTGCGAGAAACGTTTCAGACAAAAGCCCCCGTTGACAATTCATATGAGGATCCATACAGGAGAGATGCCTTACCAATGTGCAGTGTGCAGAAAAAAGTTCATCGCTAAAGCTGGCTTGAGGAACCACAAATGTCGGGGACCGCCCACTAAAACAGAAGTAACAGACAGTGAATAAGAATTGTACAGTTTCAAAAAACTTTTGTATTGCTACATTTTATATAATTATAATTACATGATCAAACGAGCTTACCTGTAAGTGATGTTCGATTAGGCGCAGGCCTCGTCGAGGTAAATGGAACAGGTGTAGTACCCCGTTTCCTGGGCAAACCCACGATTATTATTTTTCATACGAAATTTGTGAGGTGGCTCAGAAAACGCGCTCCTGCCCGCTGCGAGTCTTCAACGCATCCATACTAACATTCACCTAACTTCATAAACATAAACTACGAGGGTGGTCGCAGAAGTACCCGACCCAACGAAGAAAACATAAAATTTTTGTAAAAGAATGTATTTATTTTTCAACATAATCTCCTTTGAGCTCTATACACTTTTCCCAGCGATGTTCAATAAGTTCGATACCCGTTTTATAATAAGAACTGTCTTGCTCCTCAAAATAGCCATTAACTGCCGATCGTTGGAAAATCTTTGACCACTGAGCCATTTTTTCAAGTTTGGAAACAGAAAATAATCCGAGGGGTTAAATCTAGTGAAGAGGGTGCATGAGGTAGCAATTCAATTTTGGCTATTGCAATAACGGATTTGTGAGCTGGTGCATTGTCTTGATGAAACAACACTTTCTTCTTAACCAAATGCGGCCGTTTTTGCTCGATTTCATCGCTCAAACGTTGCAATAAGTTCGCATAATACTCGCCATTGATAGTTTTACCTTTTTCAAGATAGTCAATGAAAATTATCCCACGCGCATCCCAAAAAAACCGACGCCATAACCTTGCCTGCAGATGAAACGGTCTCCGCCTTCTTTGGAGCCGGTTGTCCCTTTTGAGTCCATTGTTTTGATTGTTCTTTTGTCTAGGGTGTGAAGGGATGGACCCATGTTTCATCCATGGTTATGAAACGACGCACAAATTCTGCTTTGTTGATGTGAAACTTCGCTAAACACTCAATTGAGACGACACTGTTTTTGCTCGATTGTGAGCAATCGCGGCACCCATCTTGCACACATCGTTCTCATGTCCAAATGTTCAGATAATATGCGATGATCCGCACTTTTTGAAATGCCTACTAGGTCTGCTAGCTCGCGCACTTTCAGTCGACGATCATTCAGTACCGCTTTGTGAATTTTCTTCACCATTTCTCGAGTCGTCACCTCATTTGGTCGACCACTGCGATGCTCGTCTGGGCAGCTTATACGGCTCGTTTAAACTCTGCTACCCAATATTTTATTGTTGTAAACGAAGGAGCAGACTCACCCAGAGTAGAATCCAGTTCAGCTTTTATATTGGTTGGGCTGAGGCCTTTGAAATAAAAGTATTGTACCACATGACCAATTTTCTCCATTTTCACAAATTCACTGAAAACGTTCAGTATTGATGGCTGCCAAAAAAATACTAAAAAAACTTTATAGGTTGCATACTTTCTAATACAGTGATATTTTTCAAACAACTATCGCCATCTCTAGGTCAGGCCGGGTACTACTGGGATCACCCTCGTATTTGTCATTGCGTGCGCTTTGAACTCATGGGTTTTGTCGGGAAACGGGGTACTACACCTGCTCTATTTACGAGACGAGGCCGGAACATGATTTTTATATTCAACTTCCTCACACACTGTAAACTGTCGTGTTATTCATCACATGTGGGAGCAACTTGAATTCGTTCAATTTTGCTTTCCGGATTCTGTGGTAGTAGAAGTATTTAATAATATATTTTTTTAGGATCTTCCATGAAGTTTGGATTGAGTCTACTCATATAGAAACTAACAGTAAAGACGCTAGTACATTAGAAGATCTTAGATGTAAGAAATGCTCAAGACTGTTTGGGTCTGTTGATCAGCTGAACGAACATGACACTGACGTACACCCGCCTGGATTATATGTTTGTAATACATGTTGCAAAGAATTCATGAATCTGACGTCATTGGAATATCATGAGAGATATGCTCATACAGATAATCGCGATTACCAATGCGATAAGTGTGGCAATCAGTTCAAAACGGAAAGATGTTTGCAGAAACATGAACAGCGCGTACATCTAAAACGTTTTGACCATATATGTGAACCGTGTGAAAAAGGGTTCGTTTACAAATCTGACTTGCAGAAACATCAACGCACACATCACAAGTTGGATGGAAATGAGATCGACAAGAATGAAACGGAACTTTACGCTTGCAGTGACTGTTCTAAAGTGTTCCCCAGCAGAACGCAACTTTCTAACCACAGGAGAATAGTTCATGCTCCAAAAATATTTTCGTGCGATATATGTGAGAAGAAATTCAATCAGATAAGAGGATTGAAAAGCCATAAAGAGTTGGTTCATCCAGAAAAACTATACAATTGCGACGAATGTGCTGCTGAATTTAAAAACATGAAACTGTTGACCAACCACAAAACTGCCGTACATTTAGGAGTGTTTAAGCACTATTGTCAAGAATGCGACATAGGATTCATGTACAGTCAAAAACTGCGCGAACACCAGAGGATCCAGCATGACAAGATACCGTTCAGTTGCGATAAGTGCGGGAAAACATTTGGCACAGGAGCGGGGCTGTGGAATCATATGGAGAAACATGTAGATGCTGAGTACAGTTGTCCGCTTTGTATGAAAATTTGCAAGTCTAGAACGCAGTTGAAGAATCATAAACGAGTATGTAAACAGCAAGATCGCGAAAAGTATGTTTGCGAAAGGTGTGGCAAAGAAGTACTTTCGAAAAAGAGTTTGCAAAGTCATATGAACGCGCATGACGGTTTGAAACCGTACAAATGCGACATTTGTGGTGAGGCGTTAGCTTCTGTTGGCAATCTGCAAGTCCATAAAAGAATACATACTGACGAAAAACCTTATGCCTGCACTTTCTGCGAAAAACGTTTCAGACAAAAACCTCCGTTGACGCTTCATATGAGGATCCATACAGGAGAGATGCCTTACCAATGTACAGTGTGCACAAAGAAGTTCATCGTTAAAGCTGCCTTGAGGAATCACAAATGTCGAGGACCACCTGCTGAAACAGATCCAACAGAAAGTGAATAAAAAAGTATATACTTTCACAAAAGAGAGTCAGATACGAAGTAATGAACAAAACATTTGTATTGCTACACTGTAGTCTGATTAAGTATTAAATTTAACCAAAATGAAATACAGGCAACTTCTTTCAGGGTATCATTACATGATCAAACAACCTTACCTGTATGTGAAAGCCTCGTCTCGCAAATAGAATAGCTGTAGTACCCCGTTTCCCCCTGTGTCAACTAAATTTACATTTACATTGTAACAACTAAAGTTAGGGCTTTTAACAACAGGTAATACGACGTACATAGGTTCAAAAATAAAAATACCATCTGTTACATGGTAACAAGCAAATAACGTATGTAATAACATAGTTCAGTTCAAGGTGTGAAAACTTAGCTTACCTCAAATGCAGCCTTTCTAACATTCACCTAACTTCATAAACTTGCACCTAAAACAGATCGATCAGTCGACAATTGATGCCCTTTCAGAAAAAGAGTCCGGCAAGCTACTTTCTGATGCATGCTCCGCGACGAAAAGGAACGAAAGGAACCGTGAAGGTGACCTTCCGACAATGCACATCAGAATTATCTGCCCACCTTCGCTCCAGTTGTCTAATATTCGTGTTCAGCGATTGCTCGTATGAAGAACTGTTCCTTTGTCGTTTCGTATGTTTGGGCACCTCGACACTGCTGAAAACGTGAACACCGGTGCCCGAACGAGTAACTCGATGCTTGGCACGTGGCACGAGAACAAGGAATGAGCGTTTGTAGGCCATGGGCTGTAGAGGAGGAAGCTGTCTACACAAGTGTGGAGGACCGCCTGCCGAAACAGAAAGTGAATAAATAATAATAATACGACCTAATACACAACCGATTTGTATTGCCACATTTGAATGTGATTATGAGTTATTATTTTCAGCCAAAATAAAATACAGGTGCAGGTACTTTATTTCATGCTACATTTTTTGTATTTAACGACTCATGTATACTAAGTGACATATAAATCCGAACACCCAGTTTAAATGGTTTTATTTTAAGTACTTAATGAAGCATAATGTAAATGATAAAAATTTCAAAATGATTGCACTGCTTTAATAATGTGTGGATGCACCCTGATGTGCTACGCATTCTCCAACGCGCCTAGGCATGCTTCTGATCAGGTGGTCAATGTCCTCCTGTGGTATCTCATTCCAGGCAACCACCAACTCCTCTAGAAGTGCTTCTAGAGTCTGAGGAGGACGTTGCAAATTGAGCAATCTCCTACCCATCATATCCCACACGTGCTCAATTGGGGTTAAGTCGGGATATCTTGGTGGCCATGGTAACAATGTGACATCATTATGTTGAAAGAAGTCTATTGTGACTCTTGCAACATGTGGTCGGGCATTATCTTGTTGGAAAGTTGGATCTACCAGGGTGTCAAGATAGGGTAAAAGATGGGGTTCTAGAACTTCGTGGATATAACGCTGCGCGTTCATGTTACCTCTGATGAAGATTAAAGGTGACCTGGAACCATAAGCTATAGCACCCCAAACCATAACTCCAACAGTGTGATGAACGTGTCTTTCAACAAAAAACTGTGGATTCCTCCTTTCACCACGTCGCCTTCTAACACTGGCACGACCATCGTGCATGCCTAAACAAAATCGAGACTCGTCACTAAAGACAATACTGTTCCATTCCTGATCCCAGAGTGACCGTTGTCTGCACCACTCAAGGCGATTACGTCGGTGTTCTCGAGTTAAAGGGAGGACCCAGTGTGGCCGTTTTGAAAACAAGCCAAAACTTCTCATTCGTCGGTAAACACTTCGCATGCCAATAGGTCTTCCGTGTTCTGCAAACCATTCATTTGCAATGGACCTGGTAGTGGAGAAACGGTCCCTTAAGGCCAATAATCTTAGGCGGCGATCTTCACGGTCTGTTGTTCTACGGCGGCGTCCTGTGCCCCTTGCTCTTTGCGTACGGCCTTCTCGAAGCCATGCCTGACAACACCTAACCACAGTGTCTACACTTCTTTGCACTCTAACTGCAATTGCCCGAAAAGAAAGTCCAGCTTCCCGAAGTCCCACTATACGGCCCCTATCAAACTCACTAAGTTGACGAAATCGTACAGGTCTCCGTACTCTAGGCATCGTAACCGATCGTAAAGAACCAAAATCCGCCAACGTTGATTCTTTACTGCGGCTGAAATATTCATTTTTAGAGCGTTAGTGAATTAAAAAAAAGCAGTATGAAAACCGGAATGTCCAACTGATAAGGCTGAAATTTTTTTCACTTGTTATTTACAGTAAGATAAATACATTCACCAACTTTTATTAAAATAAAACCATTTAAACTGGGTGTTCGGATTTATATGTCACTTAGCATATATAACTTGAATCGTCAAGGTTATTTTAATTTTTCTGAATCTGTGACCTAGTCATATCACTGTACACTCGGAAGTATTACAGGAAATATTTTATAACTGGTATTTTTTTAGAATTAAACAAGAAGTTTGGATCGAGCCTGTACAACTAGAGGTTGGCGATACAACTGGCAATACCTTGGAGAATTTCCGGTGTAGGAAATGTTCCAGATTTTTCCTGTCTGAGAATCAACTGAGTGACCATGAGAAAGTTATTCACGTTCCTGAGATATATGAGTGTACCATATGTTGCAAACGTTTCAAAAATGTAAGATCGTTGGAATATCACGAGAAATATGTCCACACTGATGATAGAGATTACGAATGTGGCTTATGTGGTAGTCAGTTTAAGTCAAAATATTGCTTGCAGAGACATAAAAAACGGATACATCTAAAACGCTTGCGCCATTTCTGTGAGCAATGTGGGAAAGGCTTCAGTACAAAATTTAATCTGCATAGACATCAACGCAAAGATCACCAGCAAGGTGAAGGTGAAACGACACTTCACTATTGCGGTGATTGTTATAAAGTGTTCCCCAGCAGAACGGAACTCACTAACCATAGGAGAACAGCTCGTGCTCCTAAAATATATGCATGCGATATTTGTGAGAAGAAATTCAATCAGATAAGAAGATTGAAAAAGCACAAAGAGTTGGTTCATCCAAGTAAACTATACAATTGCGATGAATGTCCTGCCGAGTTTAAAAACATGAAACTGTTGACCAACCACAAAACTGCCGTACATTTAGGAGTGTCTGAGAACTATTGCAAAGAATGCGACGCAGGATTTTGCTCCGATCACAAACTTCGCGAACATCAGACGATCAAGCATGACAAGCTACTTTGCAGTTGTGATAAGTGCGGGCAGAAATTTGATTCCAAAGCGGGATATTTGCTGCATATGGAAAAATACGTAGATGCAGGGTACAGTTGTTCGCTCTGCGTGAACATATTCAAGACTAAGCAACAGCTGAGTAGACACGCATGTAAACAGAAAGATCGAAAAAAGTACGTTTGTGATAGATGCGGCAAAGAATTACTTTCAGAAAAGAATTTGGAAAGTCACATTATCAGAGTTCATGACGGCGCGAAACCGTATAATTGTGATGTTTGCGGTGAAGCATTGGCTTCTAGAAGTACTCTGACGGTTCACAAAAGAATACATACCGATGAAAAACCTTATGCCTGCACTTTCTGCGAGAAACGGTTCAGACAAGGGCCTCCGCTGAAGCTTCATATGAGAATCCATACAGGAGAGATGCCTTACCAGTGTGTAGTTTGCACAAAAAAGTTTAAAGTTAAAGTTTCCTTGAGGACCCACAAATGCCGAGGACCGGCCAGTGAAACAAATGCAAAATAAATAAAAAATCTGCTTGCTATGTGATGTTCAGGTACGCCATAGACAAGGCAACCAGCGCTGATCGGTACCGAATTTCGTGCTGACAAGAAGAAAGCAAATAAAACCGGCCTCTTGTTAAATCCAGCGTAAAGTATATTCAGATAAGAGATAGACCGGACATAAACAAGACCACGTGATCATCGAACGTTGTAACATTCGGCAGGGACGTATTAAGAGTCACGCAGTACATATTTTAGATAGTAGATGCTGCTTTGCGTAACTTTGTAGTAAATTAGCACAATTCGATGTGTATACGATTGGTGATGGATATAGGATCATGTGGGGGTGGGGTAAGAAATATATAATGATGTAAATATACATAAGGGTTTCAAAATTTTCGCTTCGATTTCCAGCTTCGGATGCCGCCTGATGTTTGGTGAAATACAGTCGAATATAATCTCAAAATGGCGTTTAAATTAGCCTAAATTAAAAATAATCGTATATCTCTTAAAATTGCTTTTAGAATATTGATTAGTATATTTTTTGATTTCTAGGTAAATATGTAACCAAATTAAAACGTTCAAAACGTAAAAAAATGTGCATGGTTGAACATTGTCAGAAAGTAGATTCTTGAATAGGTTTTGCCAAAATGGGTTCAAAAATGTCAATAATTAATTAAAAAATACAGTAGCTTTATAATTACTTATAACTTACCGAATTTGATGAACGACATCTTTTATTGGAAAGATGAGCTTGATGAGCTTTCATCATCGCTACTGCCTGAAGCACCAACGTCAATAATGAATGGCTCGACTTGTTCTTCTAAAATATTGTCCAGTTCCCACATTCTCTTTTCAACTTTGTCTTTCACGTGCTTAATACAGTTTTCCCATGTTTGCGCTGTTATTAATTCTAGTGCTTCTTTGAAAAGTCCTTTGAGGTCACAAAATTTAAAAGTTGTATTGTGCTTAGCTATATAATTTTTAACCTCTGCCCATATGAGCTCAATGGGATTGAGCCCGCAATGGTATGGAGGTAAACGAAGCACAGTTTTATTTTGACTTGCTGCCATTTCGTCAATGGCGTATTTTTGATATTCCGGCTTGTGATCCTTGACAATTCTTAATAATTGTACTTTCAGCATTGCTTCTTCAAAGTTGATATTTTTCGAGCGGAGCCAATTTTGAACATCAACTTTCCTTGAAGCCGTTGTTGGGACCTTCTCCATTCTTCGAGAATGATAAGGCGCATTATCCAACACAATTACTGCGTTTTCCTCTAAGTTCGGTAAAATTTTTGAAAACCACTGGTCAAACGATTCGCCATTCATTTCCTCGTGGTAATCTACAGTTTTCTTAGACTTAAAGCACCACAGACCGTCAACAACAAATCCATCCTCACTGCCAATATGGCAGATAATGAGCCTTTTCCCTTTACCTGGAAATCGAAGTACTAACTGGTGTAGATTTATTTCAATAAGCGAACCTTTTTCAAATGTTTTCATCACATTCAGCGAAAACACATTGAGACATGAGTATCAGATTGCTATAATTGGGATTATTTAGTCATATTGAAAGAAAGAATATTGAACGTCGTATGATTACTCAGCGCTTCACAATTTAATTTAAAGTTATAAACCTTTAAAAAATGAATGATCAGGAACCTGAAATACGCGCAAATATTAATATTAACAAATTATAACTTTATAAAGCTTAAAGTATGAATTAAAATGATTGGAAATATTAAGAACGGTACACAATATAAAACGTAACTTTTTTTAAGTTTGTAATATTCGACATATTTTAAGATTATATTAAAAAATTATTGAAATATCGAAAACACATAAAAACATGGCTTAAAAAAGTTCTAACAAATGAAAATGACAATAAAACATCCACGCATTTTATCGAAAGTTATAAAAGTTTTGTTACTTGTAATATGTTTTATCTGCCCCCTGGAATTAATGTTTAGAACCTTGTTCCCAAGGTTTGAAAAACATCCGATTGTTGTCTATTACTCGTATTTACCTGCTGGATTTTTTAATCCGGTGGACAGTCCATCTAGAAAGGCCCTCCTGGATGAAGTTACAGAATCATCAACCCATACTTTACTTGTAGTGTGTCCTGCGTTTACCCACGTTTCATCAAGGTAATAAATCTTCCTGTTTTGATTTCTATATTTCCCAATTTTTGTTAAATAATCCCTCCTCCATAGCACAATTTCTTCTCTATCCAGTAGTAAACTATTACGACCCCGTTTTTTCCATTTGATTCAGTAACGCATGGAAAGTTGATCGTTTGAAATTTGGCAACGTTGTATCTCCATTTACCTCCTGCAGTACTTTATCTATAGTAGGTATTTCATTCCTAAAGAAGAATTCATGCACTTTCCTCCTAATCGCATGCTTATCAGCTTCATCCAATGATTTAACAATACTTTTGCGATGTTTACTGGTCATTGGCTCAGAAAAGGTGTGATTTTTTTTGTATTGTCTTAACACATTAAACACTGATGCGCGACACACCCCAACTTTGTGAGAAACCTTCACAACAATTTCTTTGATGGTTGATGCCTCGTTCTCCTAGCGCTCGATCTTATATATATTCAAAATGACCTCTTTCATTTCTGCACTCAGGTGTCTTTTTTTAGAGCGTTTCCTAGGTGGACTACAGGAGTTTACAACTTCATCGGCAGTATCTGTACTACTGGGCATTTTGCGCAAGCAGTTGATAACAATAACAATCAATAATAAGGTATAACAATAACAACGACAAACTCAACAACTTAATAAGATAACAAACGAAAACGTCCAAAGAAATATCAAATTGCAATGATGCACACGACATACGTAACACGTCTGAACCTGAATGCGACTCTGCCTTGATACGACTGCTCTGCCGCTCGGCATAGGCATTTAATTGCGAATTGACCAATGAGGGCTCCTGTTTTACGTCGAGACGGCGGCGTTAGCGTGAAAATCACCCGAACCTTTTGTTTACATCCGGTCTATCTCTTATCTGAATATACTGTAGTGTTCGCGTCAACATGGGGTCTAGCTCATGTGAAGATGGATTTGTTGCATTTCACAGCTCTGTAACTAAAATAATCACTAGGAAGAAAGTTGGTAGTTACCCCATAAAAAATTGTAACCTCCACAGTCTTAACTAACTTGTCTATATTCATTATAATAATCATTCATATTTATCAATGATCTTCAAGTCTGTTCAAATTCTGGGACTATAAATATGGATTTATTTACCGATCATTGTTTAGTATTTTGTGAAACAACTTTGCAGTCTAAAAAACCTAAGCAAACATTCGTTAAATTCACATCAAAAATATTGATGTTTTATCATTTCAAAATGATGTTTTAAACTTTTCCTGGAGCATTATATATTCCGTAGAGAGTATTGATCACAAAATTTCATATTTGACAGGGCTAAAATTATTTTTTTTAAGTATGCACCTCTAAGAATTGTACGTGTAAATAAACCGCATGCACCCTGGTTATCATCCCAGCTTAAACGTATGATGAAAGACAGAGACAAAGCTTTAAATCAGTTTAAAATTAAAGACAGAAGATTCCTGGAATCGCTACAAAGAGCTCAGACATTCAACTTTAAGTCAAATTAGATATGAAAAAGCAGCATATTTATTGTCCTTCCGTCAACAAAATGAATCAAAAATGTTTTATAGATCCTTAAAATCAATGCGTATCCAACAGTCACAAAATACCGTTATTCGTCTACATTAATAATTATTTCTGTTCCGTTTTTAATAACGCCATTTGTTCATGCACAGAGAAGATTGACCATTATGAAAAGAATCACTATTCTAGTGATCGATTCAAGTTTAAACCAATCGACATGGCTGATTTAAAATCGATGTTCCAGTCTCTGCAATCGAGTGCGTGTCACTCAGAATGATAAAACTATGCTTCTTTGCGATTTCAGGTCACATTTTATACATCATAAATATCTGTTTAGAAAGAGGATTCTTTCCAGAATCATGGAAAGGAGCATTAGTGTTACCTCTAGCTAAAATAAGTAAGCCAAAATTATATTCTGATTTAAGACCAATTAGTACTTTACCTGTTTTGTCCAAATTATTAGAAAAAGCGATGTATGCCCAAATTTACAATTATCTATCTAAACATAAAATTTTGCCTGCCAAACAATGCGGTTATCGAAAAGGATATAACACTGCAGGTGCCCTATTAGACTTAACCGATAACATTGTTAGAGCCTGGGATCAACATATGATCACATTAGTTCTTCTTGACTTCTCTAAGGCATTCGATACCATAAATAGGAAATCGATATCAAAGGGTACACATTGACATGGTTCTATCTTCAAAGTGCCTCATTTCCTCCGGAGTGCCTCGAGGGTCTGTACTCGGGCCACTCGTATTCATTTTGTATATTTCTGATCTCCACTCAGTTGTTAAATATTGTAATATCCAATTCTTTGCCGACGATTCACAGATCTACAGTCATTTCCATAATTCCTTTAAGATTTGACAGATTTAGTCGTGAAAAGTTTGCAAGTATGTGATTCACATGTCGACAATCCCTTACTAGGGGTTAAAAGCTGTGGTTTAGGGATTATAGGGGTTGGGCGAGAGTATATCTCAATTTTTTGATGTTAGTGCATTTATACGGTAGCGTCACGCACCTATTAGACATATTCCCCCGTTTATTTGCCACCGAAACTTGGAAAGGTAGAAAAATGGTTTCTAGACGCGTCTCTGATTCTGCTGTCTGGGTTCACTGGCTGGCGATACTGATCATTTTCGGAAAAAAATTTGTATATATATAACTCAAGTCATATTTACTTTTTTTGATTATGGACTTGAAAAAGCAGTGACGTGACACCAATTTCTCGCAGCGTAAGCCGTGTCTCAAGGGCATGGAAATGTGTCCAAAAATTTCTGCATTATTAAAGTGTAAAACACCCTAATAATTTATCAACGAACCTTTGCTTGAAGTATTATCTAGATGGTCTTTTTTTCAGATTGAAATTAAAAATCGAGGGCTATACTTACGAGCTGCATGTAGCCAAAGATTCTCCTGAAGTCCTCATCCATTTGAAGTGTGAAAAATGCTTGCAGGAGTTCGAGTCTAAGAACGACCTCATTGCCCATATGAAAAAGCATCATCCCGGATTGTATCTTTATAACGAACGCGACAAGACGTTCTCGCTACCATGCCTTCTAAACCAGTACAACGAAGATATGCACACTAACAGTACAAATATCTCGCAAATCGAAATAGTGGAAGAATCCGCCGACGACTCGCCTAAGAACCAGTTTGAAGAGATTTATGAATCTAAGCTCGATGCAGAAGTCCATCAAAGTAAAGCGATAGTAAAAACAATCACCATACCTTCTGGTGCAAAAAACCAATCTAAAGAACTTACACGCAAATTTGAAATTCAAATAGTGAATGATAGCGACAGTACATGCTCAGGTGGAACCAAGTCACTAAAACAATGGCAGTGTGAAGAATGCTCGATCCTTTTTAACAGTAAGCAGCGTTTGGTTAACCATAGATGCGTACTACCTCAAGACCAAACCCAGTTTAAGTGTGAGGTGTGCCCAAAAGTGTTCCAGACTAAAAGACAACAGCTTGATCACAAGAGATCGCATCGTCCCAAAACAGAGCAGTGCGACGAATGTGACAAGGCCTTCCAACTACCGTGTCTCCTCAGGAAACATAAAGAATACGCCCACAGTAACACCCCACATATCTATAAATGTGCCACATGCCAACGCGAGTTCAAATCAGAATACCTGCTGACATGCCACGACAAGCGCATGCACCTAAATGAATATAACTTTTACTGCGCGAATTGTGGCAAAGGTTTCGGTTGGAAGGCGAGACTACGAGATCACATACAAGAGCAACACCAGAGGCATCCATTTCGTTGCGATATTTGCGGTGAAAAGTTTGTGAAGCGTGCTCATCTGAAGTCGCACCAAGAGGAACACGAGGACAAACAGTTCAAGTGTCCGTGTTGCCCGGCAGTTTTCAAATCGAAACGAAAACTCAAAGTGCATACGTACAGTCACAAATACCATGCTAGTCTGGAGCATATTTGTGATAAATGCGGCAAGGCTTTGTCTTCGCCGTGGACTCTCAAGAAACATATGGAGACGCACCTGGACGTGAAGCCGTTTCAGTGTGATGTTTGTGGTATGACGTTTTCTACTGTCACGTATTTAAAGATCCACAACAGGGTGCATACGAACGAGAAACCATATGCTTGTAAGTACTGTGGTTGGCGCTTCAGACAGCAGCCGATACTTAATGTTCACTTGAGAAGACACACGGGAGAAAAACCGTACGGCTGTCAAGTTTGTTCTAGATGTTTTATCACCAGAACTTTGCTGAACAGACACGTGTGTCGTGGACCGACCGCAGAGTCTAGTGAGAACCCAGAGAATCTGTGAAGCAGGAATCGCTTAGGTTATTTTTACCATTTTTTTATTTAATACGCTTGTATTGTAAGAACTTTTAAATACAGTTTTTTTAAAACAAAATCTTTGATATATTCCGTACTGGCTAAGCTGAATCTATTTGCTTTCCATCTCTATGACCATGACCAACCGCATACAACGCTGTTTTGTGTTTGTTAGCAATCATCAGTACGATATACGTCTAGTCGAAAGCCAAAACAGTTAAGATTGTTTCTATAGACTTTTGCAAACCACGCTTTTGCTGGTTTTGAGAATTTCTTGTTTTCCGGTTGATTGACGAATCGTCCTGTTAAAGATGTATCAAGCTTTGGCCAACCGTGTATAGGTGGCGTTTTCACCTAAAAGAGTCAGAGTTTCCAATACAGGTTGTTATTTAAGTATGTACCATAATTTTAACAGAGTAATTTTATGACAAAAGAGTTCATATAAACATATAAATATCCTTTAACTAATTTCATTGGAACAAATAATTTCCAAAAGTAACTTTTCTCCATATTCGTTGTGGCGTCCAGAGATATGTAATTAAGTGGACTTTTTTTTCTGAAAACTAAGCAAGATACGTAACAAGACAAAAAAGTTGTATTTGTATTTGCTTCATCCAAACTAACTAAGATTAGTGACGTATACTTTTGTCACAAATACTCGTTCAGATCCCGCCAAATTTCAACAAAATTAGGTAAAGGATATTTAACAAATTCACGAAAAAACATTTTTTTTTTAAATTTCATTTTTTGACTTAAAATTACTCAAATAATAACCGTCTTTTAAATTTATTGTACATACTTATTCAACACCCTGTATACCTAGAAAATTCATCATTTCCGGGTGCTCCTTTTCCTATGTTACTTAGTATATTTGGTATTAAAAGCGAGCATAACATAACACAACCACTCACTTACCTAATCAACAAATTCTTTGAATCTGGCATATATCCCTCAATTTTAAAAAAAGGTAATATAATACCGATACATAAATCAGGAACAAAAACAGATGTTAACAACTATAGACCAATATCAATAATATCCAGTGTAGCAAAGGTTTTTGAAAAAGTTTTATCTACTAGAATGATTCGATACCTCACAAAATTCAAAATTTTAAGTGAAAATCAATATGGATTTACAGAAGGGAAGGCTACATCGGACGCAATAACTAAAATTGTAAATCAAATACATCAAAATATTGATAACAGAATCCCTTCAATCTGCATTTTTGTTGATTTAAAGAAAGCTTTCGATACAGTTAATCACAAATTATTATTAGAAGCATTGGAGAGAATTGGTTTCAGAGAAAACGCGTACTCACTGATCGAAAGTTATTTGTCAAATCGCCCACAATCTGTGCAGACATCAGGATCATTTAGTAAAGAAATGTATATTAAGTGTGGTGTCCCACAAGGAACTGTCTTAGGTCCGCTGTTATTCAATATATATTTAAATGATATTTTCCAAATTAATTGTGTTGGCAAAATAACTAGTTTTGCAGATGATACTGCAATATTATATGAAGGCACTGACTGGTCTGATCTGAAAAATGTAATTGAAAATGATTTTATCAAAATTATTCGGTGGTTTAACAGTAGAAAATTAAGCATTAACTACTCTAAAACACTTTTTTTACCATTTGGATCTTATGCTAGACATCTGCCAAATTACACAAATTTCACCTTCAATATTAATGATCAAAAAATGCAAATTAATAGAGTGCCCAACATAAAATACCTTGGAGTGGTCTTGGATCCTCACTTACGTTGGGACATCCATGTCAATTATATTTTAAAGAAAGTTAGATTTGTATCCTACAAAATTAAATACCTTGGGAATATATTGACAGAAAAATATCTTCGAACATTATACCATGCACTGATTGAGCCTCATCTCACATATGATATATTAGCATGGGGAGCTGCATGTTCCTCACATATCTATAATTTAGATGTTTTCCAAAAAAGTATTCTAAAAATGATATTTAAAATACCGAAACTTTATCCCACTGAAAAATTATACGCAGATGTTCGAATGTATGATATAAGACAGCTTTATTTCTTACACAGTATCACTCAATACCATAAATTTGTAAACACCGAACAAAAAATTAAACATAATCATTATACCAGGTACAAAATTCGTGGCACAGTAGTTCCTCAACCGCATAAATCTATAATGCAGCGATCATATCTCTATTTAGCGCCTAAATTTTATGAAATTATACCTAAAGACTTAAAAGATTTACGTTTCGGAAATTGTTTCAATAGAAATTTAAAAAAGTGGCTACAGTCTATATCTAGGACTGAAATTCATAAACTCATAAATACGAACATCAACTAAATACATAATCTACTGTAGCTAATTTTTGTCCTTTTTTGTCAACTTTTTCAACTTAAATTTATTGGTCCATGTACAGGCGATGCCTTCTATTGGGCCTGTTTTGATTTTATATTTATTTACTCATATTGTTTGTTATCTTTGTACATTGAGTGAATAAATATTATTATTATTATTATTATTATTATTATATATTTAAGAAACGTTTTCCAGTGGCGTCTTTTCGACCTTGGTTCCGAAAACCTTCTTTAACTGAACGTCTTTTTAGGTTGCTAATGCAAGTTGGAGATTATGTTTTTGAGGTAAACTATGTCGAGAACCCACCTGGACCACAATTGCAGTGTGAAGAACGTTTGGAAAATTTCCGGTGTCAACATAGTTTATCTACACACCAGAAAACCAAACATGGTCCAGAAGTATTGGACAACAAAAATACTACAAGGAGAAAACTGTACGAATGCGATCTGTGTAAGCGTGAATTTATCTCTGGAGAACTACTGAAGAAACATCACAAATTGGTACACCCGAAAGGCCACAAGTACTTTTGTGGACATTGTGGAAAAGGCTTCAACCTGAAACGAAAACTGTGTCATCATATACAAAGAAAACATATACGCGATAGCTATTGTAAAGAAGAAGAGGAAGAAACAATAACAGAGGAAGTTTTGATAGAGATTGTAGCTGAACCTGAAAAGAAACCAGACAAATTGCCTGAGTTCGAGGAAATGTTTGAAATGTACATTGCAGATGATCAAAATTCCAGCCACATTTGTGATGTATGTGGCAAGGTACGCTATTTGATATACTCTCAAAGGGGATGATAGAGATATTTTTATAACTAATCAGGGTGGCACATCCATGTGTGGATGCCATATTACTCATAAACAAATACATTTTGGGAAAATCTATTTATGGTATGTTATACATTGATGGCACATTTATAAAATATTGGCAATGATACAGGATGTCCCAATGTCGACCTACATATTAAAGTTATAATTTTTCAAATGGAATGCCTAAAATTTTATTGTATATTTGAATAAAAGAATTCAAAAGAAGAAAATTGATATAACATACTATGGGGTTTTGGTAACTAGCTACTGAGATGTAAGGTGTTTTGTCTAGAAAAACCTTGCACTTCGGCAACCCTCAGTCCCTCAGCTTTTTTTTATACTAGACACATAAGGGTTTTTACGGTTATTTTTTCGGTTATTAGCACGACTTTTATGGAACGGCTTAATTCGATAAAATATCGCATCATCCTTGGAAACAAACAAATTGTTGATTAGTTACAAACTGTCAAAATTAGCTCTGTGAGCATTATAATAAAAACCGGTTACGCTTAAAGCTGATTTATGCGTTATTAGTTTTTACGTCAAATCTGTGGCAATATGGAACTAGCCCACTGTTTGTCTTTTGTTTCCATGGATGATGCGATTTTTTCTTTTATTTTGGTGTGTTGTTCGATTAAAAGCTTAACAACTCAAAATCCAGCGATTTTATCTGAATGAAACCTTATACTAAAAAAAGCTTATACAAAATTTAATCCAAACTTGCACAAGTACCTATATAGGGTGATGCATTTGAAATTTCTGAGAAAAAGTACAATTTGCGTTTTTGACCACCCTGTATGAACAAAAATGAAAATTCGAAAAAGTAACAAATAAGATAAAAGCTGAGGTGTGCAAGTTTTTTTGATAGAAAATTCAGTACTCCAAATTTCAAAATGGTGGATTAAGGAGTTGCCGAAGTGGACGTTTTTTCTGGACCAAACACCTTACATCTCAGAAGCTAATTACCAAAATCTCATAGTATGTTATATCAATCTTCTTCTTTTGAATTGGTTTGACCAAATATGCAATAAAATCTGAGGCATTCCTTTTGAAAAATCACAACTTTGATATGTAGGTCAAAATTGGAACACCCTGTATAATTGCCAATATTTTAGAAATGTGTCCTCAAATATCATGTATAACATGCCATAAATAGATTTTCCCAAAATGTATTTGTTTATGAGTAATATTCCGTCCTCGCATGGATGGACCACCCTGTATAGCTTCACTTTCCCTAGTTGATTCAATTTTTGTGATACCGGTGGTTATTAAACCTGAAATTACTTTCTTCATAATAAACCATGTTTATATACTAAGTGACATACAGGGTGTTTCACAACTTATCCGACAAATTTTAACCACATATGCACTGTTACGAAAGAAGTTGTTTTCTAAAAAAAAAGTAATAAAAATCCTACAGAAATCGAGATAACAAAAAATAATACAGTCTAACAGTTCACTTACTTATAAAAGCTGTTCAAAATTGTTTCCATTGACTGCAATTCAAGCTTGGGCGCGTCTAATCCAATTTCGGTGCACTAATTCAAATACACCTTCTTCCTGCTGTGCCTGAAGGCTCAAATTACACTGATCAACAGCCAAAAAATATCCTAAATAAAATCAACAAAATATTACTTTTTTTTATTGTGCTAAAACCGGAATGAAACTGATTTTTTCAATATTAGTTCAAGTTTTAGAGATACGGTAATTATATGTGTTCCTGCTGTGACAGTGTTAATATACTGTAATTCACAAGAATGCACGTGCTACATTTTTATATTCGGCAAGGAAAGATGATGTAATCGGCATGATTGTGTTACGTTATACATACGTGTACATTATATTGTTTTATATTAGCCATCTTTTCCTCAGTTGGCTGACAGCGTTCATGCAAGATGTCTCGAAAGTGTGTAAACAATCCAGATCAGTTTTGTTACGTGTGTGGTGATGTGACTTTTGCGTCTCAGAGACGGTCTATTACTCCACTAATAACAAAGGCATATCAGCTTTATTTCGGTTGTAAACTAGGTGATCAAGACAAACAGTGGGCACCCCACATCTGCTGTAATACATGTGCTTCAAGTCTGAGGAGCTGGTTAAATGGCAAAAAACGGTCTATGCGCTTTGCTGTCCCAAGAAAAAAAATCGGTTATTAACTACCCAATCATACCATCTGCGATGAGACCTGTGCCTCACAGTGACGAAAATCCTATTCCAAAACCCCCAGAATCCTACACTTGCGAATCAGAAAACGAATCAGATCATGGCGATCGAGTGATTCGTCAGGAAGAAGATATGCCATCAACGTCAAGAGATCCTGATTTTATACCGAGCACGTCATGCCACCAACCGCACAAAATAACACAGTCAGAATTAAATGATCTTGTAAGATATTTAGAACTTCCAAAATGTAAGGCAGAGTTACTTGGATCAAGACTGCAGCAGTGGAACTTGTTAGAAGACGATGTTTCGGTATGTGTTTTTCGTAAACGCCACAAAGACTTAGAACCATTTTTCAATATGGAGAATAACTTGGTTTTCTGCAGTAACATTAACGGCTTACTGGCGGCTTTAAATATAAACTATCACCCAGAAGAATGGAGATTGTTTATAGACAGTTCAACATTGAGTTTAAAGGCAGTGTTATTGCATATTGGAAATATTTTACCATCTCTTCCTGTAGGGTATGCAGTTCACATGAAAGAATCATATGACAATATGAACTACCTATTGACATGCATAAAATACGATGAGCACCAATGGCATATTTGTGGCGATTTGAAAGTTGTTGCACTTTTACTTGGGCTGCAGCTAGGCTACACAAAGTTTTGCTGTTTTTTGTGTGAATGGGACAGTCGGGCAAAGGCACTTTCATTACACCAGACAAAACTGGCCTGTTCGTCAATTCCTAGAGCCAGGTCAAAAAAATGTACAGCATATGCCATTAGTAGATTCAAAAAAATTTTATTACCACCACTGCATATCAAGTTGGGCCTAATGAAAAACTATGTCAAGGCATTAGATAGAGATGGGTCAGCTTTTCAATACCTGCGTCAGAAATTTCCAAGACTAAGTGAGGCAAAGGTTAAAGAAGGTATTTTTGTTGGGCCACAGATTCCAAATATTTTGAAAGATACACAGTTTGAAAACACTTTAACAGGTATTGAAAAAACTGCTTGGAATGATTTCCGTCTGGTGGTCACTAATTTCTTGGGAAATAGAAAAGCTGACAACTATAAAACCCTTGTCAAAAATATGCTGTCATCGTATCAAAAGATGGGCTGTAATATGTCTCTTAAGATACATTTTCTACACTCACACCTGGACTTTTTTCCTGACAATTGCGGAGACGTAAGTGATGAGCACGGCGAACGTTTTCATCAGGATATTTCAACAGTGGAAAAAAGGTACCAGGGAAAGTGGAATCGTTCCATGCTTGCAGACTACTGTTGGACTCTTGGTAGAGATGCTCCAGAAACGATCCATATAAGAACAGCAAAAAGACTGATTCTTATAAGTATATGAATCTTGTTACTTTTTTTAATATATCCTTTTTTATTTCATTGTCATTTTTGGATTCAGCGCCCCAAAATTAACAAAGAAGTGCACTTTTCCCACAAGATACAATTAAAAAACTAAAATTTGTTGTCCAGTGTTTTCGGCAGCCACTGTGATTCGGTCACGCAATTCTTCAATATCCTGAACTGGAGTACGGCATATCTCGTTTAAGTTGTGAAACACACTGTATGTTGTCCAAGAATTTGAAGCTTTGGCAGGTCTCTGTATTCTGTAACGACGTTTATACAGTTCATGTTTTACCACAACGTGTTTTTGCAGGTATTTTTATCATTAACGAAGCTCAGGGAGCACATGGATTCGCACATTTTCCAATGCGACATCTGCTATCAAGCATTCGATGCTGTAGATGATTTAGCAACTCACAAAAGATCGCATAATGACGAAAAACTATTGTTTTGTATGATATGTGACCTGCCTTTTAAAGCTAAAGCGCTTCTGATTAGCCATATGAGGGGATGCAAGAAAGTGACGTCCTATGAATGTAAATTGTGTCCTAGGCTATTTTTATCCTCTTCCGACTTGAAAGAACATTTTTCCGTGCATATGGCCGAGGAGCCGTTCGTATGTGTAATTTGTGATAAACGCTTCAAACAGAAAAAACATCTCACTGAACATATGAAAAAATATAAGAACGAGACGCCTAGTGATAAACAAGTAAAACATAATAAGCGCCTTAATTCCGTATCGGAAGATTCTCGTTCACGTACGGCTGAGAAACCTTATGTTTGTTTGATATGCGACATGCGTTTCAAACAAAAAGATTATTTCATTGACCACTTGAAACGACACAAGAGTGAGACACTCAATGAACCTGATTTATCTGATCGTATCGAACCGTCCAAGGAATCTGTCATAAAATGCCATCTCTGCTCGTTATCCTGCAGTACCGACAAGACACTTAGCAGGCACATGCAAATAATGCACGTACCTCGAGTTTGCGATATCTGTGGCAAGGTATTGAGTTCGATCCCGAGCCTCAAAACTCATAAAAAAACTGTACATTCCGACGATAAACCGTTTGCTTGCCAATTCTGCGATAAGCGATTCAAGCAGAAATCTTATCTTTCTCTCCACTTGAAGACGCACACTGACGACAGGCCTTTCGCTTGCCAAGTGTGCTCTAGGCGATTCATCACCATGTCGAATTTTAAAAAGCACAAATGTCGTGGATCGCCTGACGACGGCAATGACGGGACAAGCGTAGACGAAAATGTCGATAGAGAGTACAAATGTCCATTCTGTGCACAAATGTGCGATTCCAAAAAGGCGGCTGAAGCACATATAGCGAGCGATCACAATTACATTTGCGAGATATGCGGCAAAACGTTGACTTGCGTATCCGGTCTCAAAGGACACATAAAAGACGTGCACGAAAGGGTGAAGCCCTTCCCGTGTACGTTTTGTCACTATCGTTTTACCAGCAAATATAGACTTACGCGTCATATGAGAACCCACACTGGTGAAAGACCTTTTGTCTGTGGAGTGTGCTCCAAAGGTTTTATTACCAACTCCAAGTTGAAGGATCATAAATGCCGCGGGCCATCGAAAGAAGTCGAAGGCGTCGTTGCTGAAGTTATTGAAGCAAAGGAAATTCAACAACTAGATTCGGATTTATCAAATTAGTTTTCTAAGGGTTGGGATATGTGAAATATTTTTGAATAAAGCTCTCCAGGAATTTGTGTTTTATTCATCAGTACAGGAATCAAAGATAGACAAAATTTGGCAGAAAGCAGAATCGAAAGTTGCGCCTATGACACAAACTCGACCAATGAGAAGGGGTTTCTAATGTACGAGGGTTGATTCAAAAATGAGGTTCCCGGGCACAAGGAATTTTTTATTTGAAAAAACGAATTTATAATAATAATTATATATATATATACTTATATAATAATAAAGACAAAACAAGTTGCAAAACCAGTTTTATATGAACATATTATAGTGGGAGGGGCGATGTTCGGCATATCCGCTCTTCCACTTAACCCCTGCTTTTAGGTTCACATCATAATAAGATAAGCATATATACATATATATATATATATATATATATATATATATATATATATATATATATAGGTGAAAAATTAAAGCTTCCGCCTTTTGTTGGGTACTTCGACAAAATTTAAGCAAAGAGGACTCTTTATACTTTTTTTAATTCTCTCTAGCTTTCAATGGACTTTGTCATCATCATCAGGAGCTGCAATTACAATGATAACAGTAGCAACAAAAGTGTAAAATGAATTTAAATTGAATCAACTTACAATAGTATGTGAGGATGTTGCTAATTGTTGTTTTCGTATAGGATGAGGGAAACGTCCAGTAACATGGTGAGAGCTGGATACATGGTACAATGGTTAAAATTATATAAAATATGACAAGACAAGTTAAAGACAGATTAAAAATTATTTAGAAAACATTAGAGCATTACGTCGTGAAGCCACTTGATGATTGCACAAAATGGTGGTCATGGAATAATGAGTGAGATGAACCTTTGACAGAAGGCCGAAGGTTGTCAATGTCTGTGTTGAAAGATGGAACGAATTGTGGGCGTGTGCCAAAACGTTGCCAAATCACTTCAGATGATGTGATTTTCAGAATGTTATGTAAGAAATTGTTAAAACTTGAACTCTTTATACTTCTTTTATTCCCTCTAGCTTTCAATGGTCTTTGCCATCATCATCAGGAGCTACAAAAGGCGGAAGCTTTAATTTTTCACCTAACTGGTCTAGACGACAATGACCATGTCGTGAGCAGTATCAGAGAATGGACCCTAGCGGCTAATTTGATAAATGGTACTATAAAAATACATAATGACTCCAAAGTCATACCATGTAATTACCTGCAATGTAATAGCGTATACGTTTTTTTAACAAATCAATACAAAGAGCAGCGTGCGTTGCTTCATTTTCAGCCAGCCAGCTTCAGTAAGCTTTGATGACAGTGAATCGTATTTTCTTAAACCAAAAATAAGTCTCCGACAAGAATTTTGCACTCGTTGTATTTTATCAGAGGTGAATTTAGACGACATCACAGAAGTTAAAATGCGACAGAACAAGAGAAATTCATAGTATAACTTTAGTTTTTTTGTTCATGTAAGATTGCTGACCGTATATCGTCCTTAAATTGCAATACGCCCTTCTGGAGCACTTGTTAACATGATCCTCATACCTTAAGTTTTTGTGAAGGTATAAGCCTAAATTACGCGCTATCGAGCTTATTTCTAAAGTATTGTCATCGAGGTTTATTTTCACCAGAGGTTCACAATGGCTGTCTCTCCAATTTTTCGGCCCGAGTAACATGACTGTACTTTTAGCCGGATTCAAGTCTAAGCATACGTTTCGAGAAACTTTAGTGATACGGTCAAGGTCTTTATTTATCAGATCAACAGCAGGCAATGTTTGAGCTGGAGGAAATGTGTATCATCTGCATAAAAATGAGCTTTACAAGCGTGAAGACTGAAGTATAGATTAGAGGTGTAAATAATGAACATTAGCGGACCCAGAATGGAGCCCTGATGAACACCAATGGCCACTTTCAATGGCGTCGAGTACTTATCATTCAGCATTACCTGCTGTTGACGATCGCTGAAGTAGCTACGCATTAGATACTCTGCATCGGCCGAGAATCCGTAAAAGTGGAGACTTTTCTATATCAATAATTTCATGAGCTCTCTTTCTGGGCATAGATAGTATCCGGTCTTTCACTTTTCTTTCAAATGAGTATTTGGAGAAAATCAATTTCAGATCTTGTGGAACGAGATTGTAAGGCAAGACTTTGGTGTAGTAAGTAATAGATATAATTATCTCATATCTAAAATGCCAGTTTCCTCATACAGCTGCTCTCTTGGACACAATTTAGGTTTATTGTATATAATTTTTGAAATAACTTTTTTGCGTTTATTTTATATTCATTTACTCGTGTATTCTTTGCGCATTGAGTGAATAAATATTATTATTAGTTATCTAGTACATTATTTTGAATATTCGAAACACTTGAAGCATATCCTTTATAACTTCAGAACAAGGTTCAATCAAAGTTCAATCTGTATTCCACATACATCAAAAACCTACGATCTCTTTTTTTTCTTGGGACGAATATTCTATTACTTATACCAAAGTCATTCAAAGCAGCTACATCAATTAGATCATTTAAAAAAGAACTCAAGAAATGGATTTTACAATAAGCAAGATGCTCCATCCACTTGAAAAATTAATATCAAAATCAATACTATTTTTCTTATCGCTAACTTTCATACTTTCACTTTAGTCATAATTGTTTGGGATATTTTTTCTGACATCACCGCAATAATTCAATTCACCAAATTATATATTATTGACATTGTTTAGTTATTAGTTGTATTTTAAGCTTATTTTTTGGGTACTTTATGTTTGTTGCTCACGATATTTAGGATTTACGAGTACTTTGTGATAATAAGCATTATACAGGGTCCATAAGTGGACGGAATATTACTCATAAACAAATATATTTTGAGAAAATATATATATATATATGGGATGTTATACATGACATCTGAGGGTACATTTCTAAAATATTGACCATTATACAGGGTGTCCCAATTTCGACCTACATATCAAAGTTGTGATTTTTTCAATAGAATGCCTCATTTTTTATTCCATATTTGGATAACCCAATTCAAAAGATAAAAATTGACATAACATACTATGGGGTTTTGGTAATTATCTACTGAGATATAAGGTATTTTGTCTAGAAAAACCCCCCACTTCGGCAACCCCTCAGTCCGCCATTTTGAAATTATCGCACCATCTTTGGAAAAAAATAAATTGTTGATTAGTTACAAACTTTCAAAATTAGCTTTGTGAGCATTATAATAAAAACCCCAAATTGTATTTGTCTATGAGTAATATTCCGTCCACACATGGATGGGCCACCCTGTATATACAATATCTTTTGGTGTCGCTAGTGTGCGAGGACACTTACTGTTCTATTTTTTAGTATAAAACCGGAACCTTCCGACGTGTCAAGATTTGGAGAATTGTTCAAGGAACCTGACTCATTCCAAAGTCCAGCACCATTCGAAGAAACTGTTGTTCGGTGTCCATTTTGCATGAATTTTTTTATAAATTTAGAGATGTACACTAAACACATCGAACGTCACCATACTCCCTGTACTTCTCTCAACGGTCATATGTACAGCGTACACGGAAAAGTACTGATTGCTTGCACGTTATGTGACAAGCATTTCAAGCGAAAGCAAGATCTAGCTGCGCATTTGAAAATGCACTAGGGTGAAAAACCATATCTTGTTAAGTGTGCTCCAAATGTTTCACGAATTCGTCGAATTTGAAAACTCACAAATGCTGCCCAACATCCAAGGTACACTTTTTCTTTTAGAAATCCCTACACAAAGAAATCTAATGGATTTAGGTCAGGGGATCGTGTAGGCCAGGCGACGGCCGATCTATCTTTCTGGATAATTTTCGTCCAGCCAGTTTCTAACTATTCTCGAATAATGAGCTGGACAGCCATCACGCTGAACCAGGACAATCTTCTAAAATCTAACATAACATCATCCCACATATTTGCATGTTCAGCCTTTAAACATTCCAAGAAGGTCGCAGCATTTAACCTTGCAGGCAAAAGGTAGGGTCCAAATAGTCGATTACGGTAGATACCAATCCACACGTTCACACTAAATTCATGCTGAAAATTTCTTTCCCGAACTGCATGCGGATTTTCATGCGACCAAATATGTTGAATATGAAAATTTACAAAAAACTCCCTATTATCATCAGTTCTATCAAGAATCCACTGACAAAATGTGATTCTTCGTTCTCCGTCCCCTGGCTGTAGTCCTTGCACAGGTTGCAAATGGTAAGGACATCTATGGTTATTTCTAAGAACACGGTGAACATGGCTTGCTGAAATTCCCAAGGCACCAGAAACTCTCCTAACATTTGTGGTCGGATCTCTATCAAACTCACGCAGAATCATACGGGTAAATCTGGGCTGACGAACATTTATGTTTTGATCCCTTTGGAGATTTAAAAAAAAATTCAATAATTTGGCGGTGCACTCTTACAAATACTGAGCGAGTTGGATGTCGTCTGTTTGGAAATCTTCGTGCGTATTCTCTGGCTGCTTCTGCTGCGTTTCCATTTACAAAGCCATACGCAAAATGAATATCCGCTAATTCTTGATTGGAGAATAAAAATGGCATTTTTATAAAATTTACAAAAAAAAAACAGCTAAAAGAAACTAAATTTCGTACATTCACAATTGCAAAAAAACGTTTCAGGTTTCAACAGACAACAAAACTAACTGTCAACCAATTGACGTTTAACCTTATTCTGCTTTCAATTTCAAAAATATTTGCAGGCACTTCTAAAAATTATCGAGATACTAACTTTTTAACGTTATTTTATTATTAATAATTAAAAATGCATCGAATCTCAAAAATCGAAATATCTCAAAAACGGCTAACTATAACGAAAATTCACAGGAGAGCTTTTTTATGTTGAAAAGTGCGAAGAATCAGTTTTTTTATTCAAAAAGCAAAAAATTGCACTAAGAAAAAAATTTCGGTCATTTTAATACACTACAGGTACAGTAGAGAGCGCCCTCTAGCGGCTACAGTAAAACTATGCCCATGGTTCGTTTTGTCGTACCAAAAAACCCTTGTATACAAATTTTCACTGTTATACATCAAATATTGTTCGAAATATTTAAAAAAAACTATTTTAGAAAGTAAATTTTAACACCCTGTATTTCGGAAGCCACGCATTTTTCGACCATGTTTATATAGACTTTATGCATTAATTTTAAAAGTTCTATCGAATCTTAAAGTTATGCAACAATAAACTGAAACACCCTGTATACAGGGTTATCCAAATTAAGTGTCCACCATTAGTAACTTTGTTATTAGTGAAAATACAAAGTTGTTTGAATTAGCAAACTAGTAGCAGTTTTAACGCTGGTAAAAATGAGAAATAAAAAAAACAATTGAGAGTCGTTATTTTGATTTTTTTCAGTAAAATAACATTTTTTTAAATGGAAACCCCTGTATATTATATTTTTTTCTGTTAAAGCATCAAATTTTAAACAAAAAAGCTTACAATAACTTTTCTCCTAGGTTACAAATTGTTGAAGTTATGGCCTCCAATCTGAAACAATTAAATTGTATCGACAAACTTTATTTTCAACATCAACTTATAATCTTACAAAATACAATAACAATTTTTTTTAAAGAAGATGCTCGAAAACACCACCTTGTTCTTCAATACATTTTTGGGCACGTTTTTCAACTGCTCGAACTGTCTTAAGTATGGTCCTACCATCTATCTGGGTTATCTTTTCCCTAACTGCAGTCTTTAACGCGTCAAGGTTATCGTACCTTCGCTTGTAAATTTGGTTTTTTAAGTAACCCCACAAGAAGTAATCAAGTGGGTTTAGATCTGGTGATCTGGGAGGCCACTGTATTGGGCCATTTGTTCCTATCCACTGATCATTAAAAGTAGTACTTAGAAAATGATAAGTACCTCTGGAGTTGTGGGCAGGTGCGCCATCTTGCTGAAAATGCAGATGATGTCTACTTATAAGATCCAATTCGTCTAAGAAATTAGTCAGAATTTCTGAAATAAATTCCACATATCTTTCACCAGTTAGGGTTCCCTCATAAAAGAACGGGCCAACAATTTTTGAACCAATTATACCGCACCAAACGTTGAAACTGAAACGGACTTGTGGGCCTCTTGGATGTACTAACAAAAGATTTTCTCTTGACCAATAATGGTGGTTTTTTCTATTAAACATTCCAGAATTTGAAAAATTTGACTCATCTGTCCATAAAAGGTAACGAAAGTTATTTACATTTTGGCGACAGAAGCTAAGATACCAATGGCAAAAAACAAGTCTTCTCTCTGGATCCCCTGCCAAAAGCGTTTGAACTGGTCGGTACTTATACGGAATAAATTTGTATTTTTTTAAAATCCTTTGAACAGTACCATAACTGAAATTAGAGTCCTTGAGAATATCTGCTATTGAATTCTCACGATAAGCTTCAAAATATCCAATAACTGCAATTTCCGTGGCCTCGCTTATTATGTATTCTTTTTTTGCCCTTGTTTTAGCAAAAACATTTTCGTTGCCCCTAAATTTTCGATAAAGTCTCAGAAAATATCGTTCATACGGTTGAATGCGAGCGGGATATAATTCACTGTAGTATTCTCTTGCTCTCAAGGAGGATTTTCTGCACACTAAATAGCATTCTAACATATCACACTTTTCTTCATGGGAGAACATTTTTCTTTAAATTAATGACACAATAAAGCTTATAAACAAGTATTTACACTAATGTTTGACATTATTTGATTTTATCATTGTTTTCCAAAGCCTTCTAGTTGCGAGTATGTCCAGTTTAACAATTTGTCGCTTATCTTAATGCTGTCAAATCGCGAACGCCATGTTGTTTTCATAGCCGTCTTAATATTATAATACTGCAAATAATTAAAAATATTTATCGTTATTTTGACTTTATTTTTGACTTTAGCGGAAAAGTCATTATGAACTTTTTTGTTTAAAATTTGATGCTTTAACAGAAAAAAATATAATATACAGGGGTTTCCATTTAAAAAAATGTTATTTTACTGAAAAAAATCAAAATAACGACTCTCAATTGTTTTTTTTATTTCTCATTTTTACCAGCGTTAAAAATGCTACTAGTTTGCTAATTCAAACAACTTTGTATTTTCACTAATAACAAAGTTACTAATGGTGGACACTTAATTTGGATAACCCTGTATTATAAACTAGAGCTGTTTACTGTGTATGGATAAGGAGAGACGTCGCTTATCTGATTTAATATTCAAAACTACATTATAAAAATAAAAAAATGTTCTAAGTCATACATTGGATGTTATTAATTATGGCGGTTGCTTATAAACGCAGAAAAACGTATCAATATTTCTATTGCAGAAAGCACATCCAGAAATAACAAAAAAGCTCTGATAAATTGTCCCATAATTAAGTGTTATAAATTTCTGCGCCACCGATGAGACTGGATAAGCCCAAAACATGATTATTATTCAAATAACCTTACGGTAAGATATGATCACTCTCTATTAAATACCTTGTTGTGTTGTTAGTGTGCAAGGGCCTTACTATCCTATTTTTCAGTGCGAAACTGGAACCTTCCAAGGTATCAAGATGCAGAGGATTGTTCAAGAAACCTGACCCAATCCAATGTCCATCCGAAGAAGCCGTTGTGCAGTGTCCATTTTGCTTGAATGTTTTTAAGAATTTAGATATGTACACCAAACACGTCGAACGCCACCATACTCCTTGTACTTGCAACGAATGCGGCAAGGTATTAGCTTCGAAAATTTCCCTCAACGGCCATATGTACGGCGTACACAGAAAGGAATTGTTCGCTTGTACCTCATGCGACAAGCATTTCAAGCGGAAACAAGACCTGGCTGTTCATTTGAGGATGCATTCCGGTGAACGACCTTACGCTTGCGAACTGTGCTCTAAACGTTTTATAAATTCGTCAAATTTGAAAACACACAAATGCTGCCAAACATCGAAGAAATCGTCGGAATCTAAAGCCTCAACCAAGAAATCTGAACCACCCGAAGCGACTATTATACAGTGTCAATTTTGTTCGAATTATTTCAGGAACTCAGAAATGCTTACGAAGCACATCGAGCGTTCTCATACTCCTTGTACCTGTGACCAATGCGGAAAAGTATTGAATTCACGGCATTCCCTCAACGCCCATCTGAACAGCATACATCGAAAAGAAGAAGAAATGTTTTCTTGCACCGTTTGCGATAAGCGTTTCACGAGGAAACCGGATCTTAACGTCCATTTGAGGGTGCACACCGGCGAGAGGCCATTTGCTTGCGAAGTGTGCTCCAAGCGCTTCATTAACTCCTCAAATTTAAAATCGCACAAATGCAGCGTGTTGCAAGAGCCTGACCCGTCTGGTACATCGGAAGAAAGTAATGCGCAGTGTCCGCTTTGCGCGAACGTTTTCAAGACAAAAGAAATGCTCACCAAACATGTCGAACTTCGTCATACTCCATGTACTTGTAAAGAATGTGGCAAGGTATTGAACTCAAAAAATTCCCTGAATGGTCATATGAACAGCGTACACAGAAAAGAGCTATTCGCTTGTTCCTTATGTGACAAAAGTTACCGGCGAAATTCGGATCTTACTGTACATCTGAGATCGCACTCCGGCGAGAGAAAATATGTCTGTGAAGTGTGCTCTAAGAGCTTCATGCACTTATCGAGTTTAAAAACACATTTTTGCAGTGAGAATTCTACCAGCGCTGTTCAGGAAGTTGATAAAGAGTACACTTGTCCGTTTTGTTCAAAAGTATACGAGTCCAAAGACACGATCAAATCCCACATAGCAAGCGACCACAATTCGCATATTTGCGAAAAATGTGGCAAGAAATTTGCTTCGATCAACCGGCTCAGAGGGCATGTGAAGCGCGTACACGACAGAGTCAAACAGTTTGTTTGTAAACTTTGTGACCGTCGTTTTTCCGAAAAGAGATACTTCAACAGTCATCTGAGGAAACACACAGGTGAAAGACCGTACGTTTGCGGCAGATGTGGACAGACGTTTGCATGTGAAACAGTACTCAAGGGGCATATCAAGTTTGTGCATGAAGGAGTTAAGCCGTACTCCTGTACGTTCTGTCAGCGTCGTTTCCCCACCAAACATAGACTTTCACGTCATTTGATAACCCACACAGGCGACAGGCCGTATGCTTGTAACAGGTGTGGCGAAGCGTTTAACTGCGAATCTACACTCAGAGGCCACGTCAAGTATGTGCATGAAGGAATAAAGCCATTCCCTTGTACGTTTTGTCAGTGTCGTTTCCCTACCAAATTCAGACTTGTGCGGCACTTAAGAACTCACACAGGTGACAGGCAGTATACATGTACTGTGTGCTCTAAGCACTTTAACACTGACACAGAGTTGCAACATCATAAATGCAGTGAAAAGGCAAGCGACTAGTGTAAGTACAGGATGCAAGATGAGTTTTCAAACAAAAAACAATGTGATCTCTGCTTCTTTTCCTTTTCCTCATTTTTTCCTCCAAGCCTGAGGCCGTTGCCTTCCCCTGGATTTGTGCCTATTCATAAGTTTAAGATTGATTTTGATTCCAATGTAAAAAACTAACAGTAGCTCTGCTCGGATGGCCCACTGCGGTGAGAGCCACCTATGAGAGAATAGCATAACTGCCGTTTTGCTGATATTTGCCTAAAGTGCTGCAACCAGCATTGCGCGAACAAGGTTTGTGAGTTGTAGGCTCCTATGATAACATTAGTCCAGGCAGTATCTTTGCACCTGCATGTTTCCAATCCCAAAGCGTCGAAAATTGTTTATACAATTTGTCTGGAACAATAACAAAATCCTAAAGCATTTCAGAGGGTACTGCTGTTGTAGTGTCTTTTAATTGCAAGCTAACTTGACGTGAGAGTTAGTGTGGATCCGAATTTTGAACCAGTTAGTTTAAACCGATTGAGCTGTTTGGATCACGTGTCAATACAAAATGAATTAACTGCCGTCATTTTGGATCCAAAATGATGGATGTTACAGAATAGCGATTTATCATTGCTATGATATGGGTATAAAATGAAAGGGATTGATGAGAGTGACATAATAAACAAGGTGACGTCATTTTAAATGCAATAGGGCGATCGCCGCAAAATGTAGATTTTTAATTTCTATAGTCACGTTTATACCATCAGTATCAAATGAACGGGTTTGATGAGGGAAACATAATAAGCAAAGTGTCGTCATTATAAATTCCAATGGTGAATTTAAATTACAAATAAACTAATAAGTTTTATGATGTCATGATTTGATATTAAAAACACTAAAAAGCAACACATGAATAAAATAAAAAATACATTCTTAATAACAAGCTTTTATTAATCTGAATTGAAAAATTAAAATCAGTTTTTCTCCATTAGAAATATTTAAATGATAATAAAGCTCCTTCATCTCAAGTTTACACATATATCCTGCTGTCAAAACATAACAGGCTTTATTTGAACTTCATTTTCGTTTAAATATTACCATAAAAAAATCTTTACTTCATATTATTAACAGCTAAGTAAAAGCTTGTCTTCAAAAATGTATTTTTTTTATTTTATTTATTGTTAATGTATTTATTCTGCGTGAGTGCAAGAGATATGTAGCTAGGGATGGTATTTTTGGAATTTGTTTGGAAAAATTGTTCAAACAATTTTTGACGTAAATTTGGGCCTGGAACACGGAGATTCGTTAAATAAACTGAATCAGAATATGTTTCTGAGCAGATGCGGGTATCTTCCTGGGTTACACAAGAAACGGCAATTTGATATACGAAATTGCCTGAGACCGTTGCCTCCACCTGGAGTTGTGCCTATTCATAAGTTTAAGATTGATTTTGATTCCAATATGTTCGGAATGTGAAAAACTAACAGTAGCACTAGGTAATGATAGCATAACTGCCGTTTTGCTGATATTTGCCTAAAGTGCTGCAACCAGCATTGCGCGAACAAGGTTTGTGAGTTGCAGGCTCCTATGATAACATTAGCCCAGGTAGTATCTTCGCACCTGCATGCTGCCAATCCCAAAGCGTCGAAAATTGTTTAAACAATTTGTCTGGAACAATAACAAAATCCTAAAGCATTTCAGAGGGTACTGCTGTTGTATTGTTTTTTAATTGCAAGCTAACATTTTGGATCCAAAATGATGGATGTTACAGAATAGCGATTTATCACTTCCATAGTAATCGCTATGATATGGGCATCAAATGAAAGAGATTGATGAGAGGGACATAATAAACAAGGTGACGTCATTTTAAATCCAATAGGGCGATCGCCGCAAAATGCGTTCATTTTATTAACAGCTAAATAAAAGCTTGTTTTCAAAAGTGTATTTTTTTGTTTTATTTATTGTTGTTGTATTTATTCTGCGTGAGTGCAAGAGTGATGTAGCTAGGAATGCTATTTTTGGAATTTGTTTGGAAAAATGCTCAAACAATTTTTGACGTAAATTTGGGCCTGGTACACGGAGATTCGTTAAATAAACTGAATCAGAATATGTTTCTGAGCAGATGCGGGTATCTTCCTGGGTTACACAAGAAACGGCAATTTGATATGAGAAATTGCAGACTGATAGTTATAAGGGTTAATCGTCAAGGAATCTGTTTTTGTAAGAATTTATAGCCAGTTTGAACAAACGAGATCAATAAATTTATAAACTAGTAACACGTATTTTTTTAATACTCTATAGGTCACCAGGAATTTTTTTTCTCTACGTTCTCTTTTGTTGTTTGTTTGCAGCCCATACCCGTTCTTCCCTAACATTCAACAATCCGTTCGAATAAATCTTTTCTTCACGCACTGAGATGTATTTCTTCTATTTCTCAAATATTCTGGAAGAAAACGGATTACTAGAAACAACTTCCGAAAGGAAAGAATGACAGTCTCATTTTCCATTATCTTTTGTGACAGGATAACATAGCAGGAGATTTCCCTTGTGTTTATTTTCAAAACCAGTAGTCGTCTTGGGAAACTACCGAGACTTTATTATCATGATTTTCCTCCGTATATTCAATAATTACCTTGGATCTGACCTTCCTTCAAGGTCATGTATAGGTCAAGTAGATTTTTGTAGCCAGGTAACAATCCTGAACACAGTTTTCTGAATTATCATGAAATTAAGATTAGCTTGTGTTTGACCTCGAAGGTCAAGTCCAAGGTCAAGTTCTAAAAATGGGCAAGGTCATATTTGAACATAAATCTTTCGCTTTTCTTCATTTGGGCCCTATCTTCGCAGTGAAAGTATACGGTCTCATTGCGCAAGAGTTGCCTTCAAATGACCTTGATAGTCATGAATAAGGTCAGATCTAAGGTCAGTATTTTATATTCGGGGGAAAATCATAAAAAACGGTGTCGGTGTTTGTGTATTAATTAAGGTAAGCTTGTGTTTGACCTCGATGGTCAAATCCAAGGTCAAGTTCTAAAAATGGGCAAGGTCGTATTTGAACATAAAAGTTTCCCTTTTCTCCATTTGACCCCGATCTTCGCGGTCCAAAGTATAGGGTCTTATTGCAGAAGAGTTGACCTTCAAATGACCTTGAAAGTCACGATCATTGTCAGATCCAAGGTTACTATTGGATATCCGGGAGAAAATCCTGAAAATAGTGTCCTTGTATTTTCCCTATAAGACTACTGGATTTTAAATTGTATCACCGTGCCTGGATTTGACCTTGATCATGACCTTCAAAGGCAAACATTTAAGACCATATTTGAATGAAACATTTTCTGCTCTTTTCATTTACAGGGTCAAGAATGGGGGGATCCTTTTAAAAAAATCGATTTAACCTCCAACTGACCTTGATCTTTTAGCTATTCTGGAACGTATACGTACAATTAGGTAAAATGTTCCAACATTGTTTGCTGTCGTAACATTACGATATTGTATTTCGTACCAAATGATGTTCGAACGGTTCAAGGTTGGAACAAAACTGTTGAATATATTTATTGACAGATTCTATATTAGTATCTTATTTGTAAATTTTTTTAGTTTGAGCCAGGAACGAGATACTGAGTGGTCAGAACCGCATCGTTCCAGTGTGGAACGCTATTCCTGTGAAATATACTCCAAGGGTTTTTCTACCTTTACACGTTGGAGAAAGCATTCTCCTAAATGCCGAGCATCTTCCAAGGAATATAAAGAACTATCGAAGAAATCTAACAGGTCTGGATCGTTCGAGAAATCTGACTCAACGGAATGTCAATCACCATTACGCTATATTTGTGAATTATGCTCTACGGGCTTTCCAGAATTAGACGATTGTATCAAACACTCTTCTCAATGTCAAGGATCGATCAAGAAATCACAGCCACCTGACCTACAGTGCTCAATTTGCCCGAGAGTGTTTGAAACCAAAAAGCTATTCACTAAACACATGGTATATTATCACACTCCGTGTACTTGTACTCAATGCGGCAAAGTACTATCTTCAAAAAATTCCCTTAACGTCCATATGCATGGCACCCACAGGAAAGTTGAACCGTTTGCCTGTTCGTTATGCAATAAGCGTTTCAGAAGGAAGCATGATTTTACAGTTCATTTGAGAGGACACTCCGGTGAAAAACCTTACGCTTGTGAAGTGTGCTCCAGGCGTTTCATAAATATATCAAATTTAAGAAGACACGTTTGCTGGGAATCTAAAGAAGCTGCCGTCAAAAGGGAAGACACTGAAAATGGAAACAAACAGTTCACTTGTCCATTTTGTTCGCAAGTTTACAAGTCGAAAGAAACGGTCAAAGTACACATCGGATGCGAACACACACCTCTGGTCTGCGAAAAGTGCGGTAAAACATATAGCTCAAAGGTTTACCTTAAGCAACATGTGAAACGTGTGCACGAAGAAGAAAAAAAAGCCGCTTGTACCTTTTGTGACTATCGCTGCTGGGACGGCAGTCAACTGAACCGCCACGTCAGGACCAATCACACTGGCGAAAGGCCTTATCTCTGTGAAGTGTGCTCTAAAGGTTTTATAACCGCACACTCGTTGAAAATACATAAATGCCGTGGATGAAACCAGCAAATACTTATTTGTCAAATAAAGTTTCCAAAGAACTGTTGACTTCTTGGTTGTACTTTTTTTTATTTAATCTTCCCCCATACAATTATATCAAACTAGAATCAAGGGCGTACCCTGCAAATGCACAGATTCGGTTTTGTGGTCAGTTGAATCACTTTTTAGGAGTGGGACCTTTAATTCTCATAGTGAACATATTTGGTCGTTAGAAAATCCCCGTTCTGTTAGAATCGACTCGTTTCAACATAGATTTTCTAGAAATGTCTGGTGCGGCACACCCAGCGCCACCCCTTAGAGTACTTCAACCGTTTCTCCGTTTGACACACTAAGCATCGACTTTTCTTCACTATATTTACCATGCTATTGCAATGCTTGCAACAACTGAACTGCCTCCTCTCCGAGCGCTGCACTAATTTAAACACATATTTCCAAGGTCATACCGTCTACCACTCACGACTTCAAGGTCACATTTCAAGGTCATATTTCAAGGTTATATTTCAAGGCCATATTTCGATTCAAGGTCACATTTCAAGACTATATTTCAAGGTTATATTTTAAGTCCATATTTCGATTCAAGGTCGCATTTCAAGGCTATATTTCAAGGTTGCATTTCAAGGTCATATTTCAAGGCCATGTTTCAAGGTTACGTTTCAAGGTCACATTTCGAGGTTAAATATGCGTTCAAGGTTGGCTCCCAAGGTCGACTCTCAAGGGCGTTCTAGAATAGACAAACCCTACCTACTCACCGCATGTTCGTCGTGACATAACCGCGTGGTTAAATAATCATTTTAGATTAGCAGAAACGGACCCGTACATTGGCCTGCGAGGTCTCCTGATTTGAACCCCCCGGATGTCTTTTTGTGGGGCGCTTTTAAACAACTAGTGTATCCTGAACAAATTAATACTGTTAATCAGTTACAAGAAATAATAGATAATGCGTTTCATCTAATTCAAGCCACAACAAATTTTGCGGAGATACGTTTTCCTTTATTAAAAAGATGCCGCAGAATGGTGCAGCATCAGGTTGTTTCACGGTGTAACGTGTAATAATTTTAACTTTCGTTCCAAATATTATGAATCCGTTTTGATGTGTTCCTGACATACAGCTGTGTGTATTTTATACTAATTTTAACGATTGTACCATGTATCCAGCGTTCATCAGGTTACTAAATGTTTCTTTAATAACGTTTAGCAACAATCTCACATACCATTCTCCTGATGATGATGGCAAAGTTCATTGAAAGCTAGAGACTAATAAAGTATAAAGAGTCCTCATTGCTTGAGTTTTGTCTTTTTGAAATGTAGCTTTGATTATCTAATTCATTTATTTATTTTTACGAAAACAATGCACTCAAGGGAAAAAGTAATTATTTGAAGAAAATTGAAGGTTAAATTCAAACAATTGCTCGTTTAAAAAACAGTGGCGTGCTATTTTTTTGGAAAAATAATGCCACTAATCCCCTGTATGTCCGCCACTGGTGCACGTTAATTTTAAGTAAAAACTTTTGAATGTGGACAATACTTAGGTAAATCCACATACCAAATTTTAGTTTATTCCAGTTGACGGTTTTGAAGATATTAAAAAAAAATGTTTTTTATCTTTTTAATTCCTCGAGGAGAAAATTTTACTTAGAAGACCCCCCTTAAAATACGGTCCTGCGTATGATGTTTCATTTTTGGTCACGACTTGTGAATCACCCTGTATAGAGCTTTTGCAAAACTAAATTTATATTTGACAGATTTCAACTAATCCTAGAATTTTTGCATTTAATGGATATTGATTCAGCTTGTGGAGAACCCAGTACATAAATAATTTAATTTCTATAAAAAAATGTTCTCTACATTCAATTTTTGCGGAGCTGGGTAAAAGGAGGCCAGCTGATACCCCTTGCCCCCCCTGGCTACGCGCTTGCCTAGAATTCTGTGGCGTCAGATTTGACGTCGTCTGGTTAAGTCTCACCGTTGATTAACCCCAGAACCGTACCCATAATAAGGTTAAATTGACAGCAACACCTCAATAAAAAAAGTCTTTTACAAATATACTCCATAAACAGCGTACCATTGACCAACAGTGGTCCAAATGACCAAGCAACTTTTGTTCGCGTTTTAGACATGATCTTGTCCACAATCACAGCGATGCATAATTTATCTTTTATCCTATATTTATTTACTCTTGCTGTTTGTTCTCTTTGTACATGAGTAAACGAGTAAGTATTATACTAAGTGACATATAAATCCGAACACCCAGTTTAAATGGTTTTATTTTAATAAAATTTTGTATAAGTACTTAATGAAGCATAATAAGTAAATGATAAAAATTTCAAAATGATTGCACTGCTTTAAAGCCCTTTGACCTTTAATAATGTGTGGATGCACCCTGATGTGCTACGTATTCTCCAACGCGCCTAGGCATGCTTCTGATCAGGTGGTCAATGTCCTCCTGTGGTATCTCATTCCAGGCAACCACCAACTCCTCTCGAAGTGCTTCTAGAGTCTGAGGAGGACGTTGCAAATTGAGAAATCTCCTACCCATCATATCCCACACGTGCTCAATTGGGGATAAGTCGGGAGATCTTGGTGGCCATGGTAACAATGTGACATCATTATGTTGAAAGAAGTCTATTGTGACTCTTGCAACATGTGGTCGGGCATTATCTTGTTGGAAAGTTGGATCTGCCAGGGTGTCAAGATAGGCTAAAAGATGGGGTTCTAGAACTTCGTGGATATAACGCTGCGCGTTCATGTTACCTCTGATGAAGATTAAAGGTGACCTGGAACCATAAACTATAGCACCCCAAACCATAACTCCAACAGTGTGATGAACATGTCTTTCAACAAAAAACTGTGGATTCCTCCTTTCACCACGTCGCCTTCTAACCCTGGCACGACCATCGTGCATGCCTAAACAAAATCGAGACTCGTCACTAAAGACAATACTATTCCATTCCTGATCCCAGAGTGACCATTGTGTGTTCTCGAGTTAAAGCGAGGACCCAGTGTGGCCGGTATGAAAACAAGCCAAAACTTCTCATTCGTCGGCAAACACTTCGCATGCCAATAGGTCTTCCGTGTTCTGCAAACCATTCATTTGCAATGGACCTGGTAGTGGAGAAACGGTCCCTTAAGGCCAATAATCTTAGGCGGCGATCTTCACGGTCTGTCGTTCTACGGCGGCGTCCAGTGCCCCTTGCTCTTTGCGTACGGCCTTTTCGAAGCCATGCCTGACAACACCTAACCACAGTGTTTACACTTCTTTGCACTCTAACTGCAATTGCCCGAAAAGAAAGTCCAGCTTCCCGAAGTCCCACTATACGGCCCGAAGCGGAATCATAGTGAAGTGAATTGAATCTCGTATCAAAAGATTACAAGAAGCTCTTTGCAGAATGGTGTACAATTGAATACCTGGTGCAACGTCGAATGCATGTACGATTAAGGTATGGTATGGTATGGTATTACTTGCCGATAATTTGTCCGTGATTCATAGTGAATTAGCGAATTTAAAATGTGCTTAAAAAACGTCCCGCTCAATTTCGCATAGTAGCATGTTTGTCAAACCGCAGATGAACTGTAATTTTAACAATTATTTATCGTATTAAGATTCATTTGTTCCGTACACGCTGACTTTGAGGCCCATGCGTCCATCCGGAATACAGGAAGCTAGATATAGCCTCTTTCAATGTAGAAGTATGAGCATATCCTTATTTTCATATTCATAAGGATTACCTTATACTCGCGAGGATATCCTCCAAGAAGAAGTAAAAGGTTGACTGGTATTTGCATCTTGAACGACATGTCCTGACTTGTTTCAGCTTGTAGTTGACGTGGGAGTTCGTTCACTCAGCATCACTGACAGTTGTACTCCAGAGCTTACACAGACCGTTTCGTATTTTTACTGGATGCAGTTTTTTTATCAAATTAATAAGCATGTCATCTTCAAGTGATGAGGAAACTATAGAAAATAATGCGCTCGGTATATAGTTCACTTCATTCTTCTTGAACACTACCAACCTGAATGGCATCTCTAATTTTCCCAATTGTAGGATTACAGTCACCTTCCATAGCTTTCAGCAACTTTCTTTCCCAATCTAACAATTTAATTGCTATATTACCAATTCTTTTTAGATCTGTTTTTTCTTCAATCTTGATTTCATGTTGTTGATTTTTTTAATAAGCCTTTAGTATCTAATGGTTTATCGAATGTTGATTCGTATTTTTTCAACATCTTCTTCAAGACATCGTCCTTTCTCATTTTTATTTTTGGAACTTGTGACTTTTGCAATGGCAATTTCAACTGCGATGAACTGCAGGTTGTTGCCATTATTTTCTATAGTTTCCACATCACTTGAGGATGACACGCTTATTAATTTGATAAAAAAAACTGTATCTGGTAAAAATACGGAACGATATGTGTAAGCCCTGAAGTACAACTGTCAGAGATGCTGACGTGGTCAACTACAAGCTGGAACAAGTCAGGACATGTCGCTCAAGATAAAAATACCAATCAACCTTTTACTTCTTGGAGGATATCCTCGCGAGTATAAGGTAATCATTAAGAATATGAAAACAAGGATATGCTTATACTTCTACCTTTTTCTCCGAAGCAAGACCTTATACTTTTACCACAGCCGACGTCAACTACGAGCCGTGAACAAAGAAATCTGGCAACGTAGGCGGTAGTGTTACTCCCGACTCGTGCTCAAAACGCTGAGAAAACATAACCTTTTCAATTTGTGATTTGGCAATCCCAGAGGCAGTAATTAAGAGATAAGCTTGTTTTCTAAGCTTCAAAGTATGTGTATGTGTTGAAAGTGATCGGTGACTATAATATATGAGAAATAGACTCCAGTTGTAGTGCTTCTGTGCTTTAAAAATAAACTAAGAAGTGTGACTGTGGCTGTTCGCGCCTCAGGACGCTAAGGATTTCAACTATTGAAAACGTGCGAATTCAGGTTGTATTTTTCTTTTTTCATTTATCAAGTATTTGACGCAGACAATATGCCTCGTTGTTGCTGTGTTCCTTTATGCAATGCAAACTATAATTCTGCTTTGAAAACAGAAAGCTATGTTTCAACTTTTCGCTTCCCAAGTACCGAAAGTCTGAAAAACAAATGGCTTATGGCAATTCCCAGAAAAAATTGGACACCTTCAAAATATTCAGCTGTGTGCAGTCGTCATTTTAGAGAATCGGATATCATCAGGACAGAAAATATAGTTTTGGCGGATGGAACAGTCCAGAATAATATACCTTTGAAATATCCAAAATTGAAAGAAAATGCTGTTCCCTCCATTTTCCCAAACATGCCATCCTATCTTTCAAAAACTGAAGCACCCAAAATAACTGACCCAATGCAAAGAAAACAAAAATTAATTGAGAAACATGAAAAAGCTATCCAGAATTTCGATGATATGGATAAGATCAAAGACTTTCAAGAATTACATTCTTCATTTTCAAAAATTAAAGCCTCACAGAAATGGAATAATAAATATCTGATGGAAAGCTATATTTTTATAAATTGGATTTTGAAAATGATATCTTAACTTTGAATACACAGATTATAGTTGATGGTCAGATGGAAGTTTAGGTGGTTCATAAAGGATGTAAGCTTTCTTTTAGTGACTTGAAGTGGGTTTTGCCATATGATCTCAAAATTACCAGATGGTCCCAATTAGAAAACCTGCTAAATAGGTATTGTTTCTATTTTTCTGAGAACCAACACAAAACTCTGTTGAAGTTTGCATCATGAATGCATTGGAACAACTTGACACAGCGATTTCCATAATTAATGATGACTCAGTTATGTTTCCATATACAAAAAATCTAGAGATTATTGCTGATCAGCTGAGACAAATTCAAAACAGGAAAAACAGATATGCATCACTTTCAATAATAATGGCTTTTACGTTTTATAACCACTCATCGTCAACATATAATTTAATTAAAAGATTTTTTGTTTTGCGAAGTAAGCGATACTTACAACATATCTCCTCAAGTATGGATATATCTCCAAAAAATGATAGGAATAATGAACACTACCTTTCGAATATAGCAATTAAATTAGCTGCAAGAGAAAAAATTGTAATTTTGATGATCGATGAAATTTATATAACATCTAGGCTGGACTATCGCTCACAAAACATTGTTGGGTATGCCTCAAATACAAATGACATGGCTAAAACTGTTTTAGTCTTCATGCTATCTTCAGCATTTGGAAACATAACAGAAATTATCAAATTACTACCAGTTTCAAATCTAACAGGTGATGAAATGACACCTTTGGTTGAACATGTGATAAATTTAGTTCAAAAATGTGGATTTGAAGTTATTTGTGTTGTTACTGATAATCACCGAATTAATAGAGCAATGTTCAGGAAATTAGCAAAGGATTCATCAGAAAATTATTCTATTCCAAATCCACATAATCCTGATAAGAATATATATTTAACTTATGATGTTGTGCATAGTAGTAGTAGTATCAGAAATAATTGGATTAATTTAAAAAACCTAGACAAAACTTTTGTATATCCTAATTTTGACAATAATGATATTATTCAGTATGCTAAATTTGAAAACATTTGTGCTGTATATCAATTGGAAAAAGAAGCTGTAGTTAAGAAAGCATATAAATTAAATTATAAAACATTGCATCCAAATTCATTTGAAAGGCAAAATGTAAATTTTGTAGATAATTTATTCCATCACTCAACAATAGCTGCTATGAAAGAATTAAAGTTTAATGATGCTGCACACTTTTTGGAAATAATCAGGAATTGGTGGGATATTGTCAGTAATACAAGTGTAATAAAAGGAGAATTGAAGCGAAACGAATTTTGTAAGCCTATTACCAATAAATATGGTTATAGAGTACAATTTTTAAAAAAATTCCTGATATGGTTAGAAAAATGGCATAATCTAGAGAATAATAATGGACACCTGACACCAGAAACGTATACAGCTCTACATCAAAGCACGCTGACTCTACTTAATATAATTGAATATTCATTTAATCAATTTGACATTGAGTATGTATTGCTTGGAAAATTCACCACTGATAATTTAGAAAAACGATTTGGCAACTATAGACTTTTATGTGGCTGCAATTAGTACAATGTGTCATATGATGAAATTTTAAATGCTGAAAAGAAAATACGGCTGAAGCATATTTTCAATGAAAAGAAATCGTCATTGTCTTTAGCAGAAATTAAAACAAGGTTCCAAAACTGCTTAGAAACTCAAGAAAATTTTGATTTCTTGGATACCAAACAAAATCCTGAAGTTTTGGATATATTCAATGAAGTATTTGAGACAAATTACTTAGCCAATTGTGACATAGAGGATAGTACTAAGACTTATATATCTGGATATGCTTCACACGCTATCTCTAAAAACCTAAACTGCGAGATAAGTAAATCGCTAATAGTTAAAGAAAAAGGTTCATTAACAACAAATGTTTATTTTGATCATTTGCAAAGAGGAGGACTGTCAATTCCAACCAGTTATGTACCGATCATATTCTACCATATGTATGCCATTTTTGAATCTATTATTAATGTAGATAGATTGGAAACTTTCTTCTTGAAAAGCAATAATCAAAAAATTATTTTGTGTCAGTTAACCTTGCTCAGCATTCAGTCTGACTTTATATACAGTGAATTTTTAACTTGCATCTGTGGCCGCAATTATGCAGATATTTTATCTAAGCTTTTGTCTATTTTTTCAAACATAATTTTGAATGATTATGTAAAATTGAAAAATAACAGTAAAACTGAAAGTAAACGTATTAAAAACAAACAGGTAACTCCACATTTCCAAGCTGGACCTGTTGGAACACAGTGTGCTGACACCAAAAAACGTAAACTAAATACTTTTAATCAGGTTAACTGCATTAGCGACTCATATATATCACGATTATTTCGTATTTTTAAATTTTTTAGAGCTATTTCATATTCAGACGATTTGTATCGAATCGAACTGTCCTCTTTTCCAAAATTAAATTTAGTTCTTGTACACGGAGACGGAGCACACAGCCGCTGGCGGCCGACGTTCACAGGTAGCACTACCATGCCGTCCGAGCGCGGTGTTGCCTTTCTTTCATCACGGCTCGTAGTTGACGTCGGCAGTGCTTTTGCGGATATGCTTCTCTTTTATGAATACGGCTCATTATCTCATTCACATTTTTTTTTCAGTGTAAAAAGCGAGGATAAACACACTCCTGCTGACGATTCTTTTCATATGTGTCTAGAGTGCTTTGAGAAGTTTAGAACAAACGCGGGTTTGAAGAACCATATGAAGTACTTCCATCCATTCCAATGCGACATATGTGGAAGCAAATTCGAGCTACGGAAGGAGTTGAAGCAACACAAACAACATAAACATTTAGTTGATCTAAATGATGTGAACTACAAGTGTTTGGACTGCTCCGAGACCTTTGCGACAAAACATCTCTTGTATTCCCATAAAAAGCAAACTCACACGGAAAATTACAAGTGTTCAGAGTGTCCTCGGGCATTTACGTCAGCATTTCTTCTACAATCCCATATAAATCAAACCCACCTTAAAATAAAATTCAAATGCTCGGAGTGTCCTAAGACGTTTGCGTTGAAGAAACTCTTAGACGCCCATCAAAGGCATATTCATGTGGGTTACACACATCCGTGTGGTGTATGCGAGAAGAAATTCAAGCAAAAGCGTGTAGCAGAAAAACATAGAATGCTGGTTCACTCAAACGAGCGCAATCATGAATGCGATATATGCCATAAGAGATTCCAGAAAGAGTATACATTGAAACAACACAAAGAAAAATTGCACACGGACAGACCTGATTATAAATGTAATATGTGCGACAAACTATTCAAATCAACTTTCAATTTGAACTCTCACCTCACACGCGTCCATTTGAAAAATTTCAAAATAATTTGTGAGCTGTGCGGACAGGGCTTCTTGGCAAAGTACGAAATGCTGGATCACCGCAGGAGGACGCACGACAAGATCCTGCTGAAATGCAAAATTTGCGACATGGGCTTTTTAAGTAGAAAATCTCTGAAAACCCATACGGACGAAAAACATCGCAACGAACAACACAAATGCCCGGACTGTGAGAAGATTTTCAAATCAAGCATGAGTTTGTTGCGGCACAAGCAGTTTCACAAAAAGTCGTATATTTGCCACGAGTGTGGAAAAGCAGTAAAATCTAAAAAAAATTTACAGCATCATCTGAATATGCACAGAGGTATTAAGCCGTACGAGTGTGACATATGTCACGAGAGATTCACTTATCCCAATAACGTAATAACCCATAAAAGGGTCCACACGGATGAAAAGCCGTTCGCGTGCACTTTTTGTGAAAAGCGTTTCAGGCAAAAGCCCGTTCTGAACGTACACATGAGAACTCATACGGGCGAGAGACCTTTCAAATGCGAGGTGTGTTGCAACTCGTTTATAAGCAAAAATAAGTTGAAAAGCCACAAGTGCGGCGGACCGGATTACGGATCAAGCGGGAATTCTGATAGTTAATCATATAATTCTTTAGCGAAAGTGGTAAGGTATTTTGATTGTCTCCTAGAATCAGTAATGATTTACTTTATATACAGGGTGTTCCTTAATGGTATGCGCAGAAAGAAATGGTACGCCAATGGTTCTTTGCCAAATAAAAATTATTTTTCAATTTAAAACAAATGATCTCTCTTGAATTGTTTTCCTTTGATGCGCCATTTTTGAGTAAAAAAATAAAAACCGTTCTATTATCTAACTTGCAAAATTATTATTAATTTAATTGGACAAATTAAACACACTAGGGGTCATTTAACTAATAAGGGATACTGAACATATATGCAAAAAATTATTAAAACCGTATAAACATACGTAGTGAATACGTTTTCCTGTCACTCGTATATGTACATACAGGGTGACTTCGAAGTTGAGTCATTTATTTTAACAGTGAGTAGATCTGATCAAAAGAAATGTTTTTTTCCTTTACCATTTTTCTGGTAAAATTAAAGTAACAAAGTTATAGCCCTTTGGAAGTTTGAGTACCGCCCTGTCTCAATAATATATTATGTGCTCGTGTTTGGCAACAACGGATATAATCCGCCTTATCGGTTCATCGCATCGGAAACAAAAAAGCGAAAGAATTTGGAACGATTTTTTTACAATTATTTTATTCAGTTGCAAACAGTCAGTGTCAGTCGGTAACGCGTGAGTGAATAGTGGTGTCTGTTGCGTGGCTCAAACGAAATAAAAAATGGCACATGTTTATGCGGATCGGTTTCCCAATCGAGTGCAACCAACCCCTCGTGCCTTTGTTAATGTAGTGCAACGGGCTCGTGAATCAGGTGACTTAAGACCTCACAGTTGACGGCATGCCGGTGCTCCAAGACCTCACGATCAAATACAGGTCCGCACTGAAATACTTGTCGGAAGGATACTTTATAAAACAAGGTAAATTTTTTTTTATTTTTTTTTAATTTTTACACACATATTTTGGTTTATCTTCCTTCTACAATCATTATCTGAAAATTAATGACTCAACTTCAAAGTATATGTGCTGGGAGGAGGAAAATTTATTTTTTGAGAGAATGTAAAATATAAAACGTACAAAAGGCAATAGATGACCTCTTATTAGCATTATTCCAATAAAAACCACCGTTATGATAGATACTGTTATGCCCCTCGTACAACCACTAGTCGTCGGATGCAGTCTGAAAGTAGTTTCAAAAAATTAAAATCCAAGGGATTTTCATATAAAATTATCTTTGGCCTAAATTTTGGGTTAGGAACAGGATATCGAGATGTGGTTTTAGCGAGCTTTTTTAGACATCATTTAGCTACCTTTTCATAAACAAAAATCATACCACTGCATTTAATTCTTTTGGGAAAATTAACCATTTCTGTCAGACTGTCGAAAAGAGCCCTCTAACAAAACTTCAAATATTATAAGATTTGTAACCCAAAAAAGCTCTTTTCAACTAGCCCAACTTTGTTGAAATCGGCTCAGCCGTTCCGAAGATACAGGGTGTTTTTTACGGAAACCTTTGAATGCTCCTCACCACTTTATTTTTAGAAAAATAGCAAAAATTGTCAACCAAAAAAAAGTTCGGATTATCCTCGAATTTAAAGATCAGATATTTTTTTGTTTGGCTAATATAGGGGAATTCACATAAACACCACTTTTTTATACTAAGTGACATATGAATCCAAACACCCAGTTTAAATGGTTTTATTTTAATAAAATTTTGTATAAGTACTTAATGAAGCATAATAAGTAAATGATAAAAATTTCAAAATGATTGCACTGCTTTAAAGCCCTTTGACCTTTAATAATGTGTGGATGCACCCTGATGTGCTACGCATTCTCCAATGCGCGTAGGCATGCTTCTGATCAGGTGGTCAATGTCCTCCTGTGGTATCTCATTCCAGGCAACCACCAACTCCTCTCGAAGTGCTTCTAGAGTCTGAGGAGGACGTTGCAAATTGAGCAATCTCCTACCCATCATATCCCACACGTGCTCAATTGGGGATAAGTCGGGAAATCTTGGTGGCCATGGTAACGATGTGACATCATTATGTTGAAAGAAGTCTATTGTGACTCTTGCAACATGTGGTCGGGCATTATCTTGTTGGAAAGTTGGATCTGCCAGGGTGTCAAGATAGGGTAAGAGATGGGGTTCCAGAACTTCGTGGATATAACGCTGCGCGTTCATGTTACCTCTTATGAAGATTAAAGGTGACCTGGAACCATAAGCTATAGCACCCCAAACCATAACTCCAACAGTGTGATGAACATGTCTTTCAACAAAAAACTGTGGATTCCTCCTTTCACCACGTCGCCTTCTAACCCTGGCACGACCATCGTGCATGCCTAAACAAAATCGAGACTCGTCACTAAAGACAATACTGTTCCATTCCTGATCCCAGAGTGACCGTTGTCTGCACCACTCAAGGCGATTACGTCGGTGTTCTCGAGTTAAAGGGAGGACCCAGTGTGGCCGGTATGAAAGCAAGGCAAAACTTCTCATTCGTCGGTAAACACATGCCAATAGGTCTTCCGTGTTCTGCAAACCATTTATTTGCAATGGACCTGGTAGTGGAGAAACGCTCCCTTAAGGCCAATAATCCTGGCGGTGATCTTCACGGTCTGTTGTTCTACGGCGGCGTCCAGTGCCCCTTGCTCTTTGCGTACGGCCTTCTCGAAGCCATGCCTGACAACACCTAACCACAGTGTCTACACTTCTTTGCACTCTAACTGCAATAGCCCGAAAAGAAAGCCCAGCTTCCCGAAGTCCCACTATACGGCCCCTATCAAACTCACTAAGTTGACGAAATCGTACAGGTCTCCGTACTCTAGGCATCGTAACCGATCGTAAAGGATGTCAAAATCCGCCAACGTTGATTCTTTACTGCGGCTGAAATATTCATTTTTAGAGCGTTAGTGAATTAAAAAAAAGCAGTATAAAAACCGGAATGTCCAACTGATAAGGCTGAAAATTTTTTCACTTGTTACTTACAGTACGATAAATACATGCACCAACTTATTAAAATAAAACCATTTAAACTGGGTGTTCGGATTTATATGTCACTTAGTATATTTTCTTTACGAAAAGTATCTTTTGAAATATTTTGTTCTTTCCATACACCCTTAAATATCCATGATGATGGTCAAGGTCATGAGCGAAGACATATTTTAACGTAGATTTTCCGCTATTCATTTCCGGTGAAAAAATAGGGGTTTAAGAAAACTGTCGTGACCTTGATCTTCACGTAAGAATTTTTTCAAACCTTACAACTTTGTTCTACAATCTATTTTCTTTAGGAAACGTATTTTTCGAGACTGAATAGTTTGTATCTTGAATATTTGTGAAGTGAAATAAAATACCATCTTTTCCATCTGAGTCTTTTGTTGAAACTTATAAATCAAATAATATCAAACAAATCAAACAAGAGATATCTTTGTATAACAATGTTTTTTCTTCGTTTTTCACTTTCCTTTTTCTCTATTTTACCCTTAGATATGGTGATTTCCTGTCTTAACTGTTCCACTTCTTTCTTTACCTGATCGTTTTCCCTTCTAAGAATTTTTACCTCTCTTTTGTATTCATTTTTATCTTTTCTCAGCTGTTTTATTTCTTCATACAATGCATTCTCATCTTTTACACATTCTTTCAGGTTTTGTTAGAAGCCCCATAATTTGTGTCGTAATATCTTCCTTCGATTGCATCACTTTGACTGGGGATCTAACAAATTGTTTGCTTTTTTTAAAATTTCTCCCTGTTTCTTTTCCCTTCATCAGAAGTGTAGTCATCCAAGGCTATAATACTGTTCATCTTAAGTTTATTTGTTGTATTTCAGCCGGTATGCGTTGTTTCTTCGATTTAATCCCTTATAAGGCTTGCTAGGAAATTTCAGGGTCGCGATAATGCTTGAATCCACCTCAACGATTCGGAGATGTCAAGTATTTTCCAATCCCTGAAAACCAGACTTTCTTCTAAGTCCGGCAACACCGCATGAAATTCCAACAGCAATTGACCGTTGCCACCGATAACCTCATCTTTTGCTTATAGAAAAATTCACTGTTTTACACTTTTTTACTGGTTCTGTCTACTGTTTTTGTCTCTAATAATGAATTGACATAAAAAGTCTAGTCGTAATACACGAAATGTATTTAATATTCACTGTAACACCCGCAAACGGAAAAATTATAGGCGAATTTTTGAATACGTCTTGAAGTCTCCAACGCGACGTGGCCTTCATCGTTATTTAGTAGTAGTAGTTCTTGGGTTAACAGAATTCGGCTTACATACTGTGATATTTCCGTTTGTTATAAAAAAATAGAGCCTAAATTTGTAACATATAGAAATCTTAATAGCACTGATATTCAAAGTTTTAAGACGCAGATTGCATCAATGCAGCTTAATGACATTTATTTCGTGAATGATGTATATATTAAAGTCTCTATTTTTACTGGCCGTCTTCTTTATCTATTCGATCTCTACGCTCCGCTACGAACAGTACGTGTCACAAAACCTGCTGCGCCCTGGCTCACTTCTAACTTGAAAATGATTTTTCAACTCAGAGATGAGGCATTCGCTGTCTATCAGCATAACAGATCTGATCAGAATTGGGCCAACTACAAAGATTTGAGAAATTATGCCCTTGCATCGCTTAGAAGAGAGAAAAAAGCATATATGTCACGTTTCCGGAATCTTAACTCTAGTCCAAGCTTGGAAACACCTGAGGAGGATAAATGTGGTAGCCCAGAAACATGTTGCGATACCTCCCAGTATCCTTGAGCCTAACATTTTAAATAATTATTTTCTTTCAATTTTCCAGACAGCTGCTGCTGATACAAATTTGATTGATAGTGTCTCTAACTCTTATAGCGATAGACGCCATACACCGGATGCACCTCTGTTTGCTTTTAAACTCCTTACTCAGCAAGACATCGTCAATATAATCTCTCACATTAAGTCTACGGCATGTGGCTCTGACGGTCTAACTTTAAATATGGTTTGCTTATGTTTGCCTGATACCATAGACCATAT